AAATATTCCTTAAACTATATCAATGAGGAAGATTCATCTGAAACATAAAAGGAACAATTTAATAGAGAATTTTGGTTAATGTTTTTGGATTAAGATAAAGAATGTTAATATAATTTATATATTAGTCTTTTTGTATTCTCATTTAATTTGACTTCAATTAAACTATCCAAATTAATTATCATAAAATCACTAGGATTTTGGGTTATAATTAAAATTAATTTATCAAATTGGAAAATATTTATGATTTCACTCTTAACTTTTCTTTCTATAATTCCTTCATGAATTTTTAATATATCTAAAAATTTCAATTTTCTTTCACTTTTGTTTATTATTAAAACAAAATTCTAATATGAAGATACATCATAATTGGCTGTATTTATCTTAAATGTATTTGTACCATTACAATGAAATGTTTATAAACTATTTTTAGATTGCAATGAGATAAATCCACCATTTTTATCTGTATAAAACATCAAGTTATGATCACTAAGATGTTATCTTTTTAATATTGGACAATATAAAATAAAGGATTATCTATCATAAATATTAAAAAAATCGAATGATTATAAAGGCAACAAAATTTAATAATCAAAAGGAAGAGCCAATTCATTCTTTTGTATAAACAATTGTGAAGAATTTTAACATTTATTATCAAAATTCAAAATTGTATGCCCTTCATCAATAAAAGTAATATTTTAAATTTCAGTACAATTTACAAAATATGAGTCATGGTATAATGAAGTTTAGGCCAAAAATATATATTTTTTTGTTGGTTTCAATATATTTTTTGCATAAGAGAATTTGTAAAATGTAATTTCCTTATTTATTTCATCTACTTATTATATCAAATTAAGATTATCATAAAAAATTAAATATGAAGTATTAATTTAAAGATGCTATTTTATAAATTGATTGAAATAAATTTAGAGTTCATTATGAGTTTATACAAACAGAATATCTTAAAAAAATTAACTGGTAATTATTGTACCCTCAATTTCTAAATAGCTTTAAGATTTGTAAATTATGGTTTTATTAACAGCCTCAACGTATGCTACTGAATAAATTGCATTACAAGTTTATGTGAATAGAAGATTTTTCCATTTTAAAGCCTTTTCAGAGGAATATATAAAATCTAATTCATAAAATTCATTAAAAAAATAATGATGATATTCTTTTTCCGTAATCAAAAATAATTATTTTGATAATGTGCTCTTGCTTAAACATAATTAAATATTCTCAATTTATGTATCCATTTAATTCACATATTTTAGTGCAATTTATTTATTCAAAATTATTTTCAAGTTGTTATTATAATACGAAAATACTACCCAACTTTAACATTAATAAAAAGTCAAAATGTAGATATTTTCATTTAATTTGGCATATTTTCTTTCACATTAAATATATTCTTCCAAATTAATCTAATAACTTAAATTTAAAGTAGTTGTATTATTAAAATTAATACTATATATATTGAACTTATCAGAATTAAAACAGAAAATTAAAAATTCTGAATGATCATTCAGAAAAAATTCCTCACAAATATCATCAATCTATATTGAAGGATTCAATATTAATGAATCAATTTAATTCGTATGGTAATTCTTTTCACTTTCAAAATTTAAATCATTCATACAAGTAATAAAATAGTTTAAGCCCTTTAGAAATTTGCAAAATAACTATTCTATTTAATTTTCAACATTTATTTGATCAACAATCAATGATGAAATGATTTATTCTTCCCAATTATATGATACTTTAATAATTTAACTAATTATGCTCTAATCAAATTATTCAAGATCTGAATAATCATTTGTATCACTTTCAATTAACATAGTATTAGGTATCTTTGATATAAATACTTCACCAGTTACAAGTTAAGTAATTTCACATTTAGATGCTAAGACAATTTACGATTTTAGAAGGACTGTAATAATCAGAGGTTTGAAAAATTATAAACTCATAATTAAAAATATATACATAAATAAATCTTGTATCAATTCGAAAACTATCGATTCCAATCTAAACTAATAATCTTAATTGTATTGTCATAAATCTTATTCTTTACTAAAAGAATTATACTTGTGAGTCGGTAAAATTTATGAAGCAAATTCTTTTTCTATTATAAAATGAAAACTCTTTTACTTTATTTGATATTGGAGAATAGTAATTATCATAAATTTATAAGCATATAAGTTTCATTTTCTTCCATCTAAGTTTTAAAGAAAATTTAATTTTTATATAATGTTAGACATGACTTTGAATATGATGAAAATATTTTAACTTATTGTCAACGTATTTTTATAATCACTTTATATTATTATTATTATTATTATTATTATTATTATTATAAAAGAGTAATAATTATTAATTTAAGGTCAACCAATAAAATTAGAATTTAAGGACTCTGGTTACACCATAACATCAATTATAATAACATTTGATTAAAAACAAAAAATTGAAGAGTATAAAAATACAAAAAAATATAAAATAAAACATAAAAGCAAAACCAATCATTAGTCATATGCTCTGATAGTAAAACAATAAATTGTATAATTTTACAATTAATTGATTAAAATAATGATTGAATATATCAATCAAAGTTTCTAAGTTTAGTGTCAAAATTATAGTAATGTTTACAAAAAAGTTGAAAGAATTTAAAAAAGCTATTTCAACCGAAATAAATTTTAATTGTTTGAATTTACAATTTATTTTTTTCTATATAACATTTTCTTTAATTAAAATATATAGATTCTATTTGCATTATGTTATGATAAAATGTAAAGAAAATTATATATAGTAATGTAAAACTATATTCAGTCTTTCACAAAAAATCAATATCTATATTGAAAATGATTATAAAGATGTTGGTGCAAATACTCAAATATAATAGAGTTAAAGTAATAAAAATTAGTTTTCCTATTAGAATATATATAATTTAAAGGAAAGATACATATGTTATGTTATAAAAATATTTAGATGATGTGCTTGAAAAAAAGGTTAGATTAAAAATTGTGTTGGTAATAGTAATGATATTGAATTATGTTTAAACACAAATCTTAAATTATATTTAATCACTATCGTCTATTTTGTAATTAGATTTTATTTAACTATTTCTAAAACTAAAAATAGAAAAGTCAAAGGCAACCTTTACCCCACTTTGAGCCATAACACATTCCTATCCACTAACCAATCTCGATTTGGCATCGTACGATGTGAAGCCCAATTTACTATCCAACCAATTAAAATAATTCACTATATAAATTAATTTGGTTTCTTTTTGTATTAAATATGCAACTTTAATATCATGTGATTTGCAGGTAAAAACCTTTTTTAGTGCTACTCCCAGTATATATTCACTAGTTACACATGTTGACTAAAATTTTTGGGTGATTGTATCCCTCAAAACAAGCCCAGTGTAAATGATTTCAACGAGCCCACAAATTATGAGTTTCTTCCTATAATATTTCCTATAAATAGAAGGTAATTATATGGGAATTAAATATACAAACTTACAAATTGTTAATCCAAGCTCTTATTCCTTTATTATTTTTTTTGAATTCAAACTATCATGCTTGTTTTCAGGAAAAGTTTAATGCCATATATAATATTTATGCTTTTCTATTTAAAATAAACTTAACCATCAAATTATCTATAATTCGAATTAAAGCACTAGTTCTTTGGAGATAGAGGATGTACAGAAAATTGGCAATAAAAATATTCAATATTACTTAGCTAATTATTCTAAATCCATCATAGATGCAAGCCAAATTGTAATATACAGGCCAACCACATACATAAATAATTAGAAATAACAGCAATTAAGAATTTAAAATGTCCACTTTGCATAATTTAAATTCTGAAGAAGCTAAAACTGAATATAATCAAGCAGCATAATTATCTTTTTAAAATATTAGAAGAAGGATTTCCAAAAAAAATATACGTCATATCAGCAATGACAGGACTATCAGAAAATTAAATATTTTATAAATAGAAATAAATTCCAATTAGCAGCTAATTGTTATAATAACTTCATTTAACCTAAAATCACCTAGATTGGTTAAGTAATATGTGGATCAATCAAATTTAAACAATTTTTGGAATTAACCGTACTTAAATCTTTTATCAAGGAATTTGAATTAGGATAGGCTTGCTTTGTAAATTTATTAATAAGTGATAAAATGAAATTAATATCATTTAGTCAGAGAAATTCTATTTATAATTATTTATTCTTAAGCCAAGTATATTAATAAAATATTCGGTTGATTAAAAAAATTAAGAGAATTGGCCATTTCTAAAATATCGACTGTTATTAAAGTTGCAAGAAAGAGATAAAAAAGCATTTCTTAAAGGTTCAGAACTTCGCGTAATTAGTATGAATTATACTTATAAATAAATTAAAAAATTTTCCCCTTTCATGAAAAACATCTTTTTTAATGATTTGAGTTTTCAAACTCCACAAATTGCTAATAAAGAAATAATAATGGCTTTAAGAAAACAGAGTTTTATTCTCCTCACATAAAATTAGTAAGCAAAACCTTTTTTTAATGATGACAAATGTGCACTAAGGGAATCTCAATAACAACTACAGGTAAAAGGTATTTTGCGCTTGGATTTAATTCCTAAATAAAGTAATAATACCCATTCTTAAATACATTTATTTTACTTTTTTTTATATCTCATTTTCTAAGACTCAGCATTAAAAGTAAAAAAGAATCAGTATAAATAATATGGATATTTAAAAACTTATATTTAGTCTGTAAATTTGATAATTAATTCCAAATATAGAGAGAATGAATCAATAATTCTCCTCATAGATTTCATTCTTAGTATTTATTTCATAAAATAATTAGAGCAGTTACAGCTTATAATTAAATCAGAAGTGGAATTCGAATATTTATTTGATTTTTTCAGATAATAATTTTTAATACTCATTTATTGTTTTAAATTTGATGAAATATTTATATAAATTTTAATAGAAATACAAATTAAAAATAAAAATGTAATAAGAAGTAAGAATTGAGCTGATTTTAGAAAATAAAATGATAGAGCAAAGAATATTGTTAATTTTACAAGAAATAATTGAAGGAACTCTTGTAGATAGCAATGATATTTTAGAAGATTTGAACCCATTAATGTCATAATTAAGCGAAACAGACAAGAATCAAGTTATTTACGCTTTAAATAGATATTTTAGAGACCATGAGTTTTTAAGAAATAGTGGTTATTGGCTTTAAGGGAACTTTAATCCCTAAGAGGAAGCAATTGATTATACAATAGTGTATAATACAGACAGAGAAACTAATAATTATGAATCTATTTTAGAAAATATGAAAGTGGAAGAATTCAGAAGATAGAATTTGATTCCTGTTGAATTTGCGGCTAATTTATAATCACTCATAAACCTTAAAATTAAGTCTTTATTAGTTTTTGATTTACTAGATTTTTCTGTAAATAGAAAGGATTTAACTCAAATAGAGATCCTGAAAATATTATTAGAATTATTTTATTGTACCTAAACATTTGCTGATAACGAATCATAGGCATTTGAACAATTAATAGGATCACTATTATAAAAATAAATATTTGAAATAGCTTATTATATTTAGATTATAAAAAACAATGATCCACACAATTACAAGAATTTTGTTTAATTATTACAATAATTACAATTGAAAATTATAAATGAGAATAACTATGATTTGTAAGCATTCTTAGAAAAAAATTAAAGATACAGAGTCTTGTTCAATACTTTTAGTAAAGAAATGATTCATATCAGATCTTAATTATTACAATTTATAGGCTCATTAATTTAAATCCCAGTAGAATAATGTTATTTTCTACAAATTCTATCATATATTAATAATATAGAAAATGTAAATGATCAACTAAATGACTTATATTTACTAATTGTTTTTTATTTTTGGAAGAAATATTGTTTTAAATATAATTTATATTTAGATCTTAAAAATTAAGAAGATAGTTTAACAAAAATAATTGAAAATGATAGAAAATTTAAATTAATTGAAAGGTATCTAACAAGATAAAAATCAAATTTACAAGATAAAATATATTTATTTGTTATTCATAAAATTTGCTATTTTGTAGAAGAAATAGAAAATCTACTATTTTAAGATACTTATAGTCAATTTATTAAAACAATGAATAATAATTTAAAAATTTACAAAGAAAAGAAATAATTTCCTATTAAAATATATATGTAAGATAAATCTAAATTTTTAGAGTATTGGAAAATGATTAATTTATTGAAATTTTATTAATAAGAAATTTAATAATACAAAAATTAATTCACTTAACTTATTACAAATCTTTTTTGGATTAATAATCAAACTATTAGTATGTACAATATTTTAAATATGATCACTTCTAACGAGAATAAATCATTTTTAGAATTGGTATAGCTAATCGAGGATGGAATGAAAGAAATAAATCTAAAAAAAAAAATTATTAATTATATGGATTTTAATATCCTTAAAATTAATTTTTTAAGAATCGTCTATTCTGAATTTCCTGAAGAAGAAAATAATTACTTGTTGTTAAGAAGTTTGATTGAAAATTATGGAAGTCTTTTGAGGGCATCCATGACTTTATAAGCTAGTTAGTTTATAAATTAAAAATTGAACTCAGAATCTATCTAATTTTTTGTCAAAATTGGGAAAAAATTCATTGTCATACATAAAATATTTCCTCCTTAAACTCTCTCAAAATTAGCTAATGAAATACTAGATTACATAACCTCCGATACCAAAGTATACATATATGATTGTCTATTAATTTTAGAATCAATATTTGCCATAAAATAAGTAATCCTATCAGAAGACTTACAACTTATGAGAATTCTAACTAAGAATTTTTGTCCAAATATTTTGGGATATTTAATCATCATTAATAAGAACTAAAATATTTCACTTACTTAAGTAAAATGGACAATTTATGCCATATTTAATCTATTCCAAAAACTAGACTAATTCGAACTAATAAAAGTGGAAAAATACATAAATAAGGTTTTTAAAGATTAATGTTATAATTTCCCTTTTGTTTTTAATTGTTTAAGAAATTAAATAAATTTTTAAAAGATAAATAAAACTGTTTAATTGCAATATTCTTTATGTTTTAATTAATCCAATAAATTGGTATAATTAAGTTAAGAATTATTTTAATTGGATGAATAATTGTATGAATAATGGTTTAAAACATCAAACCCACCTTAGGTGATGCTTTCAATTGAGTATTTAAAAGTAGCAAAAAGTCAATCATATTATCCAAAATAAATGGATATTCCTTTAGAAGATTTCAATATATCATTATCTGAATATTGTGAATAAGAATAAAAATAAGTTCTTTCCAATTGGATTCAAAAAATGACAGATACATATAAATTTAAATAAATAATTCCTTTATATTTCAATATCATTAAAAGAGGGGAATCACCTTATGAGATATTAATTTATGCCAATTAAATTTTATAAAATTATAAGTAAATAGCAGATGGAATAGGATGTTTCAATTTAAAATCATTATTTTAAATCTTTTTCAATAATGCAAATGACGAATTAAGAGTAATTTTAATGAAATTCTTTTCAAAAGAATATCCAATTCCATTCTTATATTAAAATCCTATTATGGATAATCTGAAGTTTAAAACTGAAATATTGCTGTTAAATAGCAATTTATTTTATTTTATTGAATAAGGTTATACAATAATTAATTTTTCTTTAAGTTAAAATTAAAAAAAAATTGGCAAAACAGAACTCATCAATTAAATTTTTTATGAAAGAGAAAAGTTTGAAACTAGTGACACATGTTAAATGAATTAAAATACAATTGATATTATGTTTGATTTCGAGTTCAACAATTCAAGAAGTTTTATTTTAGCTGATGTTCATGGAACAATAATCTTTGAAATCTTAATTAAAATACTTCCATTTTTTTAATTTTGGATAGTTTAAATGGATTCTGAAAAAGAACTTCAAGAAAATTTAGATTAAATTAGTATAATCTTACAAAAAATAGAATACTAAATCATACAAAAACTTGAAATTTGTTTTATTGTTAGAAATACAGAAGAGAGAGAATTAATGAATAACTAACCAATCAATTATGAAATAGAAAATAAAAATATTAAAATATTTTATCTTCATAATTTAACTGCAAACTAAATAGACAAATAATTTAAAATAAGTTAAATTTAAGATGTTTCCAAGTTCTTGTTTAATTTAATTTTGGACCATTAAAAAAGACTTTATTAAGGCAATCAATATTAAGAAAATTTGAAAAACTAATTCCTCCTAGTACTTTAATAATTTAACCCATAATATAATGTCTGTATTTAATAAATAATCAACCATTAAAATCTTATCAATTAAATTTAAGATAAACTAAATGGAATAGTGAATGAACAGGATGGATTTTATTCGTAAAATGCATTTCCTATAAGACGAATTTAATGGAATATGAAAAAACTAAGGAATCAAAATTATGAATTGTGCATGAAACCTATTGAGAACAAAATGGAAATTGAGAAGAATAAAAAACAAATAGAAGATTAAGAAATACAAATATAAAAATAGAATCCAACTGAGTTGCTAAAAATTTTCTGTGAAATTTTTAAGTAAAAACAATATTATATTGTTTATCTTTAGATTGTTGATAAAATTAGGTAATTTAATGAAAAAAATTTAATAAATTTATAGCAAAAAGATTATGAATTAAATGAATAGTTCAATAAATTAAAATAAGAAAAACATAAGATAAAATAGAAATATCTCAATAATTTACAAAATTTATGTGAAGATCAATTTAATAAAACAATAAAAGATAAGATGTCTAAATTAAAACAATAAATGGATAATAATGCACTAAATATATCTAAGAAAAATGTTGGTATTGAATTATTTTGGAGAGAATTAATCAGCTTAAGAAAATCTAATAACTATGATCTAGAATTCAATCCAGTTGAAACACTCTCTGAATTGATTAGAAAAGGAGAATCATTAGAATTTTTAGATGGAGATACTTTATCAATTAACACTTAATTTTTATTTGATTTAGAAAATAAAATAACATAGAATAAACAATAAAAAATATTAGTAATAAGTATATTAGGTCCTTAAAGTTCAGGTAAATCAACTATCTTAAACAAAATCTTTGGATGCCACTTTTGGGCTAGTGTTGGAAGATGTACAAAAGGAATACATTTATAAATCTTATAAGTTTAAAATAAGCAAGTATTTCAAAATCGCTTTGATTAAATACTTATTCTTGATACAGAAGGTTTATAAAATCCCAATTAAATTGATTTTGAATTTGATAAAAAGATTGCATTATTTGTGCTTTCAATTAGTGATATTATTATGATAAATGTAAAAGGAGAGATTAATTAATAATTTAAAAGTTTGGTTGAAATGTGCATATTTACTTTGGGACATTTAAAAAATGGGTTTTCTATGGTTAAACAATTAAGTTGGTTTTTCAATTAAAATGATAATTATAAAAATGTCTAACCATTTAAATAATAAATTAAAGACCTTGCATAAAATTTAAATTTATATTGGAATGAAAATTATTATGATTAATAAGAGGAGCATATTGATTATGCAGATATTTTAGATATAAAAGACAATATTTCTGGTTTAGGATTTGCTTCTGATTAGAAAGATTGGGGTAAGAATGGTTGGAATCAATCTGTAAATAATCCTTCATTTTCTAGAGAAGCATATAAATAGGGAATAAGCATGATAAAATAATTTATTTCAAAAATTTAAGATTAAAAAGATCCATTAAGCAATTTTAATCATTTTCTTTAAAATGTTCAAAGAAATTGGGAAAGCATAGAAAAGTTACCCGATTTATTGGAATTTAGCGAATTAATTTAACATTAATAAAATTTAATAATGAATAAATATTTTGATACTATTTGGAAAACTGAAGACATATCTTCAGTAGGTGAAAATATAATTGAAGTTACTAATTAAAAGATCAAAATTGAGAAATAGATTGTTTTTGATTCTTTCAAATAAATTCAAATTGAATAAGAAAATGATATGTAATAAACATTTTCATAAAGCAAAACCAAAATAGAAGAAAAAATGAATTCATTCAAAAGTGAAAATAAGATTTAAAAAAAAATCATATAAAAATATTAGATGAAACTTGAAAATTTGATTAAAAGCTAGGAATTAGATTGCAAAATAAAAATATAAACTTTAATTTAAAAATATGAAGGAAAATATTAAAAGAAGAAAGGATATGTTTAAATTGATAATTTTATTTAAACTGTCTTAAATGACGAAAAATAGAAAAAAAATTTTGAAGGAAATGAAAAACTAATTGAATAAGAATTTTAAAAAAAATGGGAGTAATATATAAATGAAACTAATAAAACACTAGAATAATAATATTTGGTAATGGTAGATACATAATATAAAGCTCTTAAATCAATTTCAAATGAATATATTTTAAAAACAAAAAATGAATCAGAGTATTTCTATTATTTTAGGGATGTATTAATCAAATAAAATCCTTATGATAATTAAAACACAGAAAACGAAAATATATTTTAACTTTTTTAACGAGAATTACGAGAAAACGAACAATTCATATGTATTAATAATCATAACAGATAAAATTAATCTTATCTTGACATCTTTCATCAAAAAATTTAAGAGAAATTAGAAAAATCTAAAGATTAATTAATAGATATGAAATCATTTTACTCTTAATAGATTTAGTATTCAATTGTTGCAAAAGTTGATATTTAAGAATATTTAAATTCTCAATTTGAATAAGATTTTGATTAATTTTTAAGAAAATATGAAAATCATACTAATATCGGGACTCACTTTTATAATTTTTTATCTTTTTTAGACTATTTGCAAATTTCACATGATAAAAAGTCAAAATAATAATTAGATAATATCATAAATAATTATTCTAATTAGCAGCAAATAAAATAATTATTTATTAATAAAAGATAATAACTATATTAAGCCTTTGAGAAATTGAAAAAATCACTCTTTTCTGATTATAATGCTAATTAAGAAATAGATTTGTCTGGTAAAACATTTGGTTAAACTTTCATGAATACTTATTAAGGTTTGAAAATTAGTTAAAAAAAAGATCAATCATGGAATAATACTTAATCATTTAAAAAAGAACTTTTATAACAAAATATAATAATTAATACATAAAACGATATTTTTACAAGTGAAAATTCATATTAAGAATCCTTTAACTTTATAAAGTCTCCTTAAAGTTCTTTCCCTGCATTTTTTAGATCACATTTTCCAAAATAATTTAATAAAATTATGATTAATTAAAAAGGCTGGAATAAACTTTATAATGAATTCTACAATTTAATTTAATAAGAAATGAGTTGTCAAATAAGAAAAGTAAATAATAATAAGGAAGATGAAAATATTTAATCTTTTAATCCTTATTTAATCACAGGCATTATGAAAAAGGTTGAAAATAGCATTAAGGTAAAATATAATAATTATTTTGCTTAATTCGGTGTTATTTTAACTGATGTTGGAGAAAGGTGCATCTATTACTATTCTATGTTAATTATATGGAGATTCCTTTGTTATTAACGTTAGAATTCCAAAAATATATAATAAAAGCATTAGAACAATTATTAAAATGAACTAAATAGATGTATAGCTGAAATTAATTAAGATAATTAAAAATAAAGTTGTATTAAAGCAAGAGAATTCGTTAATAAAATATAAAAAACTTTAAAAAAATAATATTTGGATAGAATAAAGTAAGAAGTATTATAAAAAATTAATAAAATGAGTATGTCAAATTTTTAACTTGTAGAAAAATTAGACAAGGAATTACTTATTGATGTGGATGAAAAAACATTTGAGGATTAGTAATATTAATAAAAAATACAATTTTATACAACTGATCATAAATCATATATTAATAAGTACGTATAGGATATGTTAGCATAATTTTAATTTGAATTGTTCAATGAATATTCAAATAAATATAAATAAGAATTAAGTTAATACTTAAAGTGTATATAAGATAATGCAAAAATTTTATATAAATATGTAGAGAATTAGAAAAAGGATGTAAAGAGTTTTCAATATTTTAATGAATAAAATCATTAAAAAAAAAATAAAATAAATTATGAAAAATTATTGTTTAGATTGTTTTTGTAATGTCTTCACGGTAAGATAGAAGATAAAATTGATATAATAGAGGATTAATATAAAGAGATTTTCTAAGTTAGCAATTACAATCCTATTAATGGTTAACTTATACTAAATTTAGAATTATTAAATTCATAAGATCAACAAGTTTATAATCTGAAAACTTTTGTTTAAACATTTATTGAGAGTATAGATATAATTTTCAAAAATAAAGAATAAATATTATTGAAATAAGATGAATATGAACTTGATGTTGAATTTGGTAAAATAAAATTTTAATTAAATGGTTGTGAATATACATGTCCATGTTGTAATAGAAAATGTGATTAAGATAATGATAGTATTCATACTCATTAATGTTAAAATGGCCATTAAATCAGAGGTAACCGTATAATATATTTAGGTATTAATGGTATTTTGATTACTAAAGATAGTCCATCATTATTCACTTGTTAAGAAATTTTAGATGAATGCACGATTATAACACTTGAAACCAATTTGAAAAGAACCTGGAAAGCTGTCAAAAAAGCACATTCGAATTGGAATTTCAAAAACTTGTTTAAGGAAAGCAACGATTAAAATATAAATAAATGGAAAAATGTTTGGAATAGAGGCTTGGGGAAATTAATTTGTTAACATTTAGCAAAATAATTAAATCATTAAATCATTTTCTCATAAAAATAAGAAATACATATTTAAGTTTCAAATTTTCATTATATTCTCATTCTTGATGATTCATATTCAATGTTTGGAAATAAATGGAGTTAAGCAAAAGAAGGAGCTTTAAATTGTATAAAGTCATTAGAAAACACTGATAGTGCAAAAGTTAGTGTTATAATCTTTAACAACAATGCAAGAATAGTTGCAGAATGTTAAAAACCCAATTTTTAAGAAATGAATAACAAAATTGTTTATTCAGGAGGTGGTACCTGTTTTGAACCACCATTCAAATTAGCTCTAAAATTGATTAAAAAATATCATAACTTTAATAAGTAAATAAATTAAAAATATTAGAATTTAAATATTATTTTATACTGATGGAGAAGCAAGTTATCCATAAAATGCAGTTGATAAATTATGTTAGCTACAACAGGATATAAGAAGATTAATCAGTATAACAGCCTGTTCAGGAGAAAAATATTCTCAATAATTAGCACTATTGATTGAGAAATTTTAATAATATATGTAATCAGCCGAATTAAAAAATTCTGTTGAGCCAATAGAACTTTAAGAAGTTTGGACAGAAGTAGTAAGCTAAAATATTCATCATTAACTAGCATGAATATTAATTATTGTAATCGGTTAAATTATTAAGTTAATGGTATTATCAATTATAAAATTCAACAATAATCTTTATCTCAAAAATCTCTTCCTTTCTTTTAAAATTTTAGATAGTTGAAATATCTAGATTTAAGGGAATCGTCTAATATTTTTGTATTAAGTAATTTTACTAAAATTAAAGTTTTAAAGATCTAAAAGTGTCTTATAAAATTTAAAATATGTGTAAAAAGGGTGGCAACATATTTATTTAAATTAGATAATAAATGAACCCAAAATTTTTTCGAATTAATAACTTCCTCTTTGAAGAAAATATTAAGATTAATTGTAAAAACAATCATTATAAAAAAAAGTATTAAGTGTAATTTAAAAAATTATGTTTCTAATATATCAATGAGTGTTTTGTTGTTAAATTTTAATATTTATTCAAACATAAGTTTAATAATTCTAATTTAACAATTTTATTCATAAAAATCATTGTATCCCAGATTAATTCGAGATACCCTCATCTTNCGATTAAAATATAAATAAATGGAAAAATGTTTGGAATAGAGGCTTGGGGAAATTAATTTGTTAACATTTAGCAAAATAATTAAATCATTAAATCATTTTCTCATAAAAATAAGAAATACATATTTAAGTTTCAAATTTTCATTATATTCTCATTCTTGATGATTCATATTCAATGTTTGGAAATAAATGGAGTTAAGCAAAAGAAGGAGCTTTAAATTGTATAAAGTCATTAGAAAACACTGATAGTGCAAAAGTTAGTGTTATAATCTTTAACAACAATGCAAGAATAGTTGCAGAATGTTAAAAACCCAATTTTTAAGAAATGAATAACAAAATTGTTTATTCAGGAGGTGGTACCTGTTTTGAACCACCATTCAAATTAGCTCTAAAATTGATTAAAAAATATCATAACTTTAATAAGTAAATAAATTAAAAATATTAGAATTTAAATATTATTTTATACTGATGGAGAAGCAAGTTATCCATAAAATGCAGTTGATAAATTATGTTAGCTACAACAGGATATAAGAAGATTAATCAGTATAACAGCCTGTTCAGGAGAAAAATATTCTCAATAATTAGCACTATTGATTGAGAAATTTTAATAATATATGTAATCAGCCGAATTAAAAAATTCTGTTGAGCCAATAGAACTTTAAGAAGTTTGGACAGAAGTAGTAAGCTAAAATATTCATCATTAACTAGCATGAATATTAATTATTGTAATCGGTTAAATTATTAAGTTAATGGTATTATCAATTATAAAATTCAACAATAATCTTTATCTCAAAAATCTCTTCCTTTCTTTTAAAATTTTAGATAGTTGAAATATCTAGATTTAAGGGAATCGTCTAATATTTTTGTATTAAGTAATTTTACTAAAATTAAAGTTTTAAAGATCTAAAAGTGTCTTATAAAATTTAAAATATGTGTAAAAAGGGTGGCAACATATTTATTTAAATTAGATAATAAATGAACCCAAAATTTTTTCGAATTAATAACTTCCTCTTTGAAGAAAATATTAAGATTAATTGTAAAAACAATCATTATAAAAAAAAGTATTAAGTGTAATTTAAAAAATTATGTTTCTAATATATCAATGAGTGTTTTGTTGTTAAATTTTAATATTTATTCAAACATAAGTTTAATAATTCTAATTTAACAATTTTATTCATAAAAATCATTGTATCCCAGATTAATTCGAGATACCCTCATCTTTTACTCTTTATAGATTTAATTTAAATTGAATAATTGGCCATTTTAATAATCATCTATAAAAAAAACTTAACAAGCAAAGTAATCAAAGTTTAATATAGATGAATTCCCTGTTGAGACAAGCTATTTGGAGAATGGTATTGAATTGTTCATAGGTAATTGGAATTCTAATAAATTAAAATTATTTCAATAACGGAAGGAATTATATGAATTCAAGAAATCTTCATTTTCAACCTCTAAATTTTGATTCTACATGAAAAATTAACTAGGGGCAATACAAAATTATTCTTAGAAGATTACAAAAAATGTTTCATTTATTGGTGAATACTTTAATTTGAAAATAAGGGTTTGACTCTAATAGGATTTATTTATAGTAAATACAATTGAATTTAAAGGAATTTCGTGACAAATATAATACATTTGAATAATGGTAAAATTACAATTCACAAAACTTTTTTTAAGTCTTAATTACAGTCATCAATTTTATCAGCTATTTAGGATTCCTATAAATTATATGTTCAGAATCAAAATATACATCAATTTAAAAATAACTTAGATATAATAAAATTAATATTTTGAGCTATTTAAAAGTCTTTGCTCCTCTTTTAAGAATATATTAGAGAGTCTTTAGCTATTGTTTCAAAGTAAATTATCAAAATAGATCTTAAAAGAAGAAAAAGTAATTTAGATATTTAAAAATATCCTAAAAAAATTTTTTTTTAATATAATATATATTTGTTAATAAAATAAATCATATTATGTTTTAGATCTATTATTGAGATTTTATTTATTAAGTTATTTCTCTTTAATCATGATTAAATATCAAATTATTAAATATTCAAAATGATTACAAATTTTCTTTTTATTGATAATTTTCAAAAGAATAGAAATGGAATATCCTTACAAGTAATATTACTGTTAGCTATGATTATAAATGGATTAAATAGAAAAATAGTATATTCTAAATTTTTTAGTACTTTCACAACAGCAGATAATGGTAATTTAATAAGTTATTTTAGATTGGCCCTCAGTAGGTTATAATACTTATAATTATGGAGTTGATGTATGTGGTACAAAAAATATAATTTTTGTTGATAACTTATCAAGTTTATCTAATTCTTTGCTTTATCAAACTTTTGTTCTTGAGCCACATTATTAAGTTTCTTTATCATTCAAATTTTGGAGGTATATAATTAATTTTAATAAGAATCGATGTTTGGAGTAGTAAATAGTTTACCACATATATTGATCATCAAATAAAATACTAAAATTCCTTTTCTGACAGTGATACAACAACTGATATCTGTAAAGATGCAACTAATGATTAAGTTGTAGATATTTCATTCACTTTCTAACACAATACTCCTACACTAATGGTAATTTTTAAAGGTGATGGATATAGATGGGGATTATCAAATATAGAAATAGCCATAGATGAATGTTCTACTGGATGTGATTCATGTAGCTAAAGTTAATGCCTTGATTAAACATTAGTTCCCATTTCAATATTTTGGACAACTTAAGAAGCTCTATTAAAATAAGCTTGTGGAGGTATATATATATTCATAAATTAGGGTATGAATATTAATAGACATTAGGCAATTTTATGGAAATTTAAATAACTTTAGATAATCATAATGTGATAAATTCATCAATGAAATTCCATATTTTTAATGCAGATAATCCAACCCTGACAGTAAAAGTAGATAATCAACTTGTAACTACAACAAAATAACTCTCTGGTAGAGTACAAAATGCAGGATATTTTTGTTTTCATAATCAGATTTTAGAATTGTAAATAATTGATTTAGATCACACAAATCCAACAATAAAATTTCGTATTGATGTTGTCTTGATAAGATTTGATCCAACATCAGTTATGCCTTTTTTTGGAATAAAAGAATTTTAATTGTTTATTAAAACAAAGATAAAATAAACTGACCCAGCTTCCTTAGGATTACCTTTTGAAGGTTGTTTAATGAGTTTACCTGAACTTTTTGAAGGTTGTTCTTTTTGTGTTAGAAGTTCTTGTTTACATTGTTAAGAAGGTTGGGAATATAATGAATAGGATTTAAAATGTCAACCAATTTGTGGTGATTAATAGATAGTTTAAAATGAAGAATGTGATGATGGTAATTAAATTCCTTATGATGGTTGTTACAGATGTTAATACTCTTGTTCATAATTCTGTTAGTAATGTCTAAAAGGTAAATGTATTTAATGTGTATAATCAAGGTAGTTAATCAATGGACAATGTTTTAATGTATGTAATTAAGTTTTAAATTATTATGACTAATTAAATAATGGATGTTTTTTTCATAACTAAAATTTTTAAATGAATGGATATTACTAACATACATTTTTGAATAATAATAATTTAAAATATTCACTTGATGAATTTTTAGATTGTGATATATTAAAATATGGAATTATGGGATATTATTATAATTAATGTAATATTAGATAAATTTTATATTGTAAAATATAATTATGGAACATATGTCTTGAATGTCAAGATGGATATTAATTGGAATTCAATAAATAAAATTGTGTATCAAAATGTAATGATAATTATAAATTGGATTTTGAGATATGTGATGATGATAATAATGTTTAATTTGATGGTTGTTATAAATGTGAATCAAGTTGTCAATTAGAATGTTTAAATTGTGTTAATCAAAAATGTTTACTTTGTAAAGAAGGATGGTATTTAATTGATGATCAATGTTTACCAATATGTGGAGATGGAATAACTGTACCATCTGAATAATGTGATGATGGTAATTAAGAATTTGGAGATGGATGCTTTGAATGCTAAGCTGAATGTTCTTATTGTAAAATATGCAATTACAATTATAAATGCTAAGTTTGTTAAGAACATTTTTAATTAGTATCATAAATATGTTAACCTATTTGTGGTGATTAATATATAGAATCTGGTTTAGAAGAATGTGATGATGGTAATGAAGTTTAGTATGATGGTTGTTATAATTGTTAATTAGAATGCTATCCTGGTTGTTAGAATTGTTAATTTGGAAAATGTAATGATATTTGTTCAATTGATGAAATAAATATTGATGGTAAGTGTATTAAATTTAATTTAAATGAAGAAAATAATAGTCTTAGTTATTCAAATTGTAAAGTTGGATGTTAAGATTGTATTAGTGATTAATAATGTATTAAATGTAAAAAAAATTATGAATTATTAAATGGAATTTGTCATTTGATTGAATGTGGTAATGGTATAAGAGAAAATTAAGAAGAATGTGATGATGGTAACATCTTAAATAATGATGGATGTTCTAAAAATTGTCTAATTGAAAATAAATGGAATTGTCTCAGCAAAGACTCTTAAACCAATACTTGTTATTCACAAACTTAAATTAATCTAGAATATTTGAATTTAACCAGATAAAATCAATTCATATAATTATCATATTCAAAAAAAGTTAGACTAAAGTTTAATTCAGATAATAACAATTTTCTATCTTAAAATTCTTTAAAAATTATAGGATTGCAAGAAGATTAATATCTAATAACATGCTATCCTGTAATTGCTATCGATTAATAAGAATTTAAATCTATCTTATATTAATTTGAAATCCAATTTTTTGAATAGATATTAAACTAATTCAACTTCACTGTATTTATTAATGAAACTCTATTAGATGTGAATGATATTCCTATACTTCCATCTAATGTTTCTATATAACTTAAAGTTCCAAAGCTTTTGACTTCTACTTAATTAACTTTTTCAAAAACATTTAGAAAAGTAGGTTATAGCATGATGATTAGTTTGAGTTGTAGTAGTGTTTTAATGTTACTATTAGGAGAGTTTGCTTAAACAATTGCATTATTAGATATTCTGCAATATTAACAGTATTTAAAATACTTAAATGTGGAGTATCCTTATAATGTGTATATTTATTTTGAATCTTCAAATTTTATTACTTTCTAACCTATATTAAATTATTTGAACTTTTTTGAATTATATGAAAGTATAGTTTAAAAACACTTCCAATAAAGTATAGGTAAGTTTAGGGAGTATGAATTAAATGCAGATTTCTTAACAAATATTGATAGTTTGTTATTTTAATTAAGTTGTGGAATGATATTAATTATAATTCTCTATGCTTATGAAAAATCCATTTCAAAACATATTCCTTTATTAAAAATTGTCTCTTATTTTGCTAAAGTGAAATACCAATTTATTAAAAGTATTTTCATCTATCTTTATAAATATAAAAGAAAAAATTTAGAAATTATAAAAATCATCAATATAAATACTTTTATTTAATTCTTTTATGCTAATAGTTGGGACTTAATGTTTAAAATAGGTTTATTTTTAATATCAAATACTGAATCTGAAAATCGATAAAGAGCATCTATTTTAATTTGTCTAAGTTATTTAGGTATTATGATAAAAATTTTCCTATTTGATACACAAAGAATTAATGGTCGTGCTAAGATTTCTTTAATTAAAAAAGTTCAGTATGAAAAACTAACTTTATTTAAGAAATTCTCTTTCCATTTACTATTAACATCAATGCAATATCATCCAATTACTTAATGTATATTGATTCCATTTTTTATAACATAATATATTTGTTTGATTTTTGGATTAAAGTTGAAAACTTAAAAACTTGAAATTATGACAATATTATCACTTGAAATTTCAATAATTTTATGCATACTACTTAATATATTATATTGTTAGGAATTTGAAAATTATTTGTCTCTTAATTAATAAATTTATATAGGATTTGCTTAAATAGGATTATTAATCTTAAGTTTACTAGGTCCTTTAATTTAAACAGGTTTTGAATGTTATTGTAAAATGAAAAATTTTATCAATTCTAGAAAATTAAAAAACCCAGATCAACAAATGACAATTATTACTACTAATATCTTTGTATAAGCAATATGAATATTAAATTTTTATTTGAAATAATTAAAAAATTCATATTGTTTGATTTATAAAAAATTATAAAGTATAAAAATATTTTGTTACTTAACATTTTTATCTTAACTAATGTTTTGAGTATTGTTTATGATTATGTTCGATATGAATAAAATCATAATTATTAAAATTCTAAAGTATTTAATTATTTATTATGAAATTAATAAAAGAAATATTTGCCGATTAGTAATTAAAAAGGATGTATTTAAAATAATAATAAAGTAATATCTTATTTTTTTATCTCTCTAATAAGATTTAAAATTTATTATAATTATCATTTATTTTCTTTATTTTTTTATAAAATATAAATAATCATATTGAAAAATTAAATAAATCTTGATTAAAATATTAAATGGAATATACTTATCATGTTGAATGACCTTTAAATTAAAAAAAAAATAAGAAAACCGTAATCATTATGATGAATAAACTATAATGTATTAAACACCAATCATTACGATAGATTAATTATCTTATCTAAAAAAATATTAAGACATTTTACTAATTACCCAAAAATATCCAAACATTCTGATGAGCAATAAATATATCATCATAGGAACCCCAAAAACCAACCAAAAATATTTATCTTAAAAAATAATTGACATAAAAAGTTCTAAGGATAAGGTTGAGACAATAATAATTGAAAAGGATTCTAATAATTTATAAAAAAATACTTCTTATATTAATATTGTATCTTGGCCTTGCAATAAATACTAAAAGGATCAAAATGATATAACATAAAAAGATTTAAATTTAAATGACTAATTATTTAATTATAAAATATATCTTACATCCTTGATTAAGTGTTTTAAATAAAAATATGCAATATTAAAGCATTATATATTAAAATAAAAAAGTTAAAACTACTATTAGTGGGATAATGCAGCCTTGTTATTAATCCTATATTAATATTAACTATATACATCTCTGTTAATTGTGAAGATATAACAAAAAGCATAAAAGGCAATAGCAACAGTAATTATAAGTTTGCTTTTCTCATTCGGTTGAAAGGTCTCTTCTTTAATCATATATTTTTAAAGACCTTTAATGTAATAAAACATATTTAATAATATGATAGCTAAAACTAATTCTATAACATTGCATAAATCAGTTTCCATACAGAATTTTTTACTTTGTTCAAATTATTCAATTTCTTCGGGATTTAAACTATAACTATCATTATCATTATTATCATTATTATCATTATTAAAATTATTATCATTATTATCATTATTATTTGCAAATTTTCTACTAATTTCTTAATCTTTACTATTATTTTCAAGATTTGTTCTGTTATATTCAACTTATTAATGATCTTAATTTATTTTTATATCATAATTTTAAAAGTCATTTTAAATGTAATCAATTTGATCTTCTTATTAAAATCTATTCCTATTTAAATTAATTGGTTGAGAGTATTGCTATATTGGATAATTATAATAAAGGCGATTCAATTGATTATCGGAGTAATAGCGAATGGGTTTGTTCATTTATTTATCAAAAAAAAAAATTAATTATCAAGAGGAAATAAAAAATAATTAAAACATTTAAAAATAAATATATAAATTTTATTTTACAATAAAAGATATATCTTAATTATGAATATTTTTAATATCAAGTTTAATGAAAATAATTAAAAAATATTATTAAGAAAACTTATATTAAGGATTAAAAGTATTATTAGGAAGTGCTAAACTCTATTATTTTTTATTAAAGGATATCATAAAGAAATTTAAGTAATTATATATTATAATTGATTTTATGAATGCGAAATATTAATAAATATTGTAATTTAAGATAGAATATACAATTGTTATTTGAATTGTAATTGATTTGTTACTATTTAAAAATAGTAATTATTCTTTTTTGATGAATAGCATAATAATATTATTTTATTTTAATGATTAATATTATATTAAAACCCAAATAATTTTCTTAATCCTTATATTAATTATTGAATATAAAATAATATAATCAATCATTAAAATAAATCCTCTTTAGGTATTTTTAATTAAAATAAATAGATATATATAATAAATATGTAAGTTTAAGTATTTAGAATTATTTTAGGTTTGCAATTAGGAATTATAATGTAAACATAAGAATAACTTAACATAGTTATAGAAACTAAAATAAAGGGATGGTTAGTGAATAAAACTCATTATATTGATTTAAAACAGAATAATTAATGAATTTGATTTATATAAAATTAATATAAATGGGTTGCTGTGCAACAAATAATAATTATAGTTAATAATTACACCTTATCAGATATTAAACTTTTACAGAGTTTGATATAAGTTATCCAGAAGGTTTGTTAGAATAATTTAATAAATAGCTTAATGAGTTATTAATCATAAAAGATGAGATGAACAAATTTATCACAACTTCAGATTTTAGTGAGGAGGATTATTTAATAACATGTAGGAATTTTTTTGATAGGTATTTTACTTTGTTAAAGACATATCATTCTTAAAAAACAATAGAGGATTAAATGATTATTGAAAAATTAGGAAAAATGCGTGAATTTATCTCTAATCTATAAAATGAGATTAAGTCAGTCGATAGAGATTTTGAAATATGGGAATAAGAATTCTTGGTTAATCTAAATTGTCTCGAACAAGAATCAGGAGAATTAGGGGAATTTTATATAACAGCAAAGAATGAGCAAAATTTAATAAAAATAATTTCCGTTTTAGATAAATTTGATGATAAAGTATTAGATTTTCATTAGGTTTGGCTTTAAGATTAGATATAAGAATTAAGAGAGAGATTATTTAGACAAAGTGAATAAGTTATAGTAAATTATTCGAATTATATAATAAATTATATGAAAACTGGAAATGATAAAAATTTGTATAAAAATTTATAAGAAATATCTAAGTTAAATGATTTAAAGGCAATTGAGTAATTAGGATATAGATTAGCATAATAATTATTACATTTAAGAGAAAATTAAAAAGATATATTATTTAAATCTGAATTTTTAGATATGGCATATAAATTATAATAATGTTTTACATAGAATTATGACAAATATATTATTTAACCAATTATATAATAAATGGATGAGTTTTTGATTTAAGAAGAAATTTAATTGTCATCATTGACTATATTATTAGAAGCATTTGGATTAGTAAAGATGGAAATATTTGATTAAGAGTTTTATTGTTTTCATATTCATAAAGCTGAGACATGTATAAAAAATATGAAAGAAATGTAATAAAATTTTGAATAAACATTTACTAAATATTAAATATAATTTTTAACTAAATAAAAATAGAATTTATAACATGCTTTATAAGTATTTGAACCTTTTTATCAATTATCTATGAAAAAGATATCATAAAAGATAGCTGAATAAATAAATTAATATTTTTCAAGACTTGAATGTATAACTTTATTATTGAATGCTAAAAAAAGATAAGAATAAAAACTTTAAGTTTTCATTTAAAATTATGGATCAAGATGTTCTCAAGATTTATTAGAACTTTAAAAAAATTCAAATAAATTTTTAGATCTCAAAGGTCTAAAATTAAATCAATCTACAGATTAAGTTACTTAAATGATACAAGAATATTAAATTTCATTTTAGAAAATGCAATAACTCTACTTATGTAATTTAGGAGCTCTTATAACTAAAGAAGCAGATGAAATATCTTAATTAACAGAAGATAAACCTAATGAATAAAAGAAAAGAATTGATATATTAATATAAAATATAGATGTTGGAATTTTGAATGCTAAAAATATTATGATAAAAACAGAAGATACAGATTTAATTGAAAAATAATTAATGATGGCACTTGATAAACTTATTTATAATAAAGATTAAAAAAAGAGAGCATCTTAATTAAGTGATTATGCTTTAAAATAAAAACAATAAAGAAAATCAACAACTGCTTTAAATTCACCTAATTCGGAAACAAATAATAGTAAATAAATTAGATAAAGTACTCCAAAAAGTATTATTGTAACAACTTCTAATAATAATTAAGAATTAGAACCATGGGCTAAATTAAAAAGAATTCCATTAAAAATAATCAGTTAATGTGGTAAGTGTGATAATTATGCTTCATATTAAGTTAAACATGATTTATGTTAAACTGATTATTTTTTGGATATGAATGGGTTTGTTAGATGTTCGAAGAGATTGATTTCATCTCCAAAAGAGAAATCTTGCAAACTCAAACATATTACTGATCAAATATTTGTTTGTCCATATTGCAAAGGAAAATTTTAATTAAATTAGTTTCATAAATTCATCTAAGCAATTATAAAGGGCTTAGATTATAATAACTTACCATTTGAATCTAAAGATATCTTATTATTTTTTAGAAGAGTTTACGAAGACTTTTCGAAAATCTATTATAATTACTAAGTTCATTAATCAAAATCTATATCAGAATCTCCTAATAAATGAAAACAATATGATATTTATATTAAATTATTTTGAATAACTATAACTAACTGAAATCAATATTCTGATTCATATAACTTGATTTGAGAATCTAAAACCCTATCTGAAAGGTTTAAAAATTTTTTATCATATGTTTTTCTTTAGTAGATTTAATCAATAAAACTTCTTCTTGGCTCTTTACAAATGATTCTCTTTCCATGACCACGATGTTTTGATTCAAAATATAATCCAGAATCATTTAAACCATCTGTTTACTTATATGTATTGGGACCTGGACTACTATGTCCTAAATTATATTCTTAACTACTTATTTTTTAAAATCGTTCCTCTTTTCCTATTTTAGAGCATCTAGAACTTCTATATCTAGCATATACAGTCTAACCCATTTAATCAATATCTGATGAATCATATTTTCCTGGTCCAGGATTGCAATCTAAACTTTACTCTTATAAGAAATCTAAATCTGTATCAATTTATTACTTGGTAACCAATTAGATTATGTTTTAGGTCTCATTGTATATTATATTTTTGGATCATAACCATAGGAACAATTATAATTGCCTACTCCAGGATTTCTCTGAATTCCTTATGTAATATATCCTAATTCTTTTGTTTTCTAATATGAATATAAATTAAATGTCAAACTTCTCTTGATATTCCAAATGTAATTCCTCTCTCTTTAGTTATATTAAATAGACTGGATATGATATATTATGTTGGAGGAGGAGCATTACTAAAGGATTTAGTAAAATCTGATCTAGGACCTTTACCAATAGAATGACCTTTATTATTTAAGTTTCTATTAATATTGTAGTTAGCCATAATGTAACTAGCCTAATTAATAAATAGGATTACTTTGTTGTTGTTTATGAAAACCGTTTTGCTTTAGAAAAAGAGTAGGACTTTTTTGCTTTATTATTGGTATGTTACATTATAAAAATTTATTGATAAAATTATTTGATATATATAAATGATAAGAAAATCATATAATAGTCAAGATGGAATAATTTTATCAATTTTTTTATGTCCACAAGGTTTAGTTATTTTATAATTTTTTGCATCCAAATAGTTTGTTTGAGTTTTAAATTAATTTAAAATCAGATCACTATTCTTAAGATTGAAGTATTCAGCATGATTTTTAAGGATTCTTTCTTATCTATATAAATTATTCATTGAGGAAGGATCAATATGAATAATTCTAAACTCTATAAACATAATCTAATTAGGGTCTATAGATGATTATTTAAAAATCTATTTTTATTCAACTTTACATTTGTATTATGCTCCTTCATAAGTATTTAAATAAAAATCAAAGTATTCTCTTCCTTCAACTGAATATTTAGCAAGCTCGCACCAATTTTTTAAGGTTCCATCCAAATTGAAAATGGTTGGTAAGGCTTAAGTTTCCTTTAAATGATCAAACATCATATCTTTTGTTATACCCATAACATCTAAGAATTTTTAATTTAAAATTCTTTATGATAAGACACTATTGATTTGATTAACATTTTAAATAGTGCATTAGAATGGAAATTGAGATACCATTTTTTCTAATTCAAGTAATTCAGTTTCTGATAGTAATGTTTAATCTTTAAAATTGTCAAGAATCTTAAATCTATTTTCGACACATTCTAATGCTTATTCACTATATTGATCATTCATGTTTTTTATAAGCTAACATACCTATTACTTTGAGAATTAATCTCTATCATATTGTTCTAGGCTAAAAAAGAATAAGTCAGCATATTAGTCAACTCTACAAACTTTATAATTGTATGTGCATGGATTTTCTCTTAAACCACCTAAACAACGATCTTATGGACATGACAATGCTAATTTTAATTCAACTGCTGATTTTATAAAAGTAGAAAGGGGTCTTGGAACTTATAGAATAGGAAGAACAACTTTATTTGAAATTTAATGTTGAGTATCTCTTTATTCTGATAAAAATATCAATATATATGTTACTAAGTTTGCAAATTGTTTTTGTTATAGGACTATATTTTTGTTCCTCTTAATTGATATTCTTCCTTAATTTGATTATCAAACTCATTACAAAATTAAAATTAATTATGTTTCTATAATTCATATCCTAAAACCTTTTATAATTCAATATTAAACACATTCAGAACCTTACATTTAATAAATTTTGTTAAATTAAAAATCATAAAACAAAACATATTCCTTATTGTATAGTGTATTTGAATATTCTTTAATAATTAATACATGCACTTAATTAATCATAATTAAAGAAAGTAGGATAAAAATCTATTATTATTAAAAGAATTTATGATTCAAACATTTAATATAAATCTAATTTTTTATATAACTTTAGCTCTTTAGAAATTTAGCAACTTAAAGAATAGCCTTAAATCTATTAAATTTGATATAATGAAAATAGAAATAATCCTAAATTCTTAATATTGAATAATCTTCTAAAATTGAGATTTAACTAATTTTTATGATATAAAGTAATTAGTGAAAATTATTTCATAATATATGAATAAGCACTTTAAGATTAAAAATTGGTTATTATATATATTTCAAAAATAATCATTAAATTTATTTGATATTGAATAAACTATATTATTGAACATATAATTTCAAAATAATCTACATTATATTAAATTCTATTTATTTAAAGAAGTTGATTATAAAAGTAATATAAATTTTTAAAAGTCTAGTATATTTAAAGTTAACTCACTTTTTAATATAATCATTTAATTAAATTAATAATAAAACTTTTAAATTTTCTTATAAATAGTAATATTATAATTATTTTATTAAATTTTTTACTATTAAAAGCTATATAAATGAGTTTTTAGAATATAAACTAGTAGTATAATTTGAAAAAATAATTTAATAAGGTAATATTAAAAGAAAAATCATTTGAATTCATTAATAAATATTTATTCTGCCATTTCATCACTACTTTAATATAATGCTGCTGCTCTTTCCCATATAATCTCTTCAAGTATTGTTTCAGTTATCTAAATAGAATAAATTAATAAATTACTAAATCAAATTATTCAAGATTTTTAGGATAATACTATTTATCTTATGTAATATACTAGATTCTTTTCTTTCTGTCTTCCATAATTTTAATAATGAATCCACTTGATAATTCAATTGAACGTAAACGATCCATAGGATTTACATAATATTATTGATCTCTACCCAATTATTCAACAGGTACATATTAATCAAGTCTTGCTATTAATATATTAATTATAATTAAATTACTATCTCTCATAAATTATTATCTAGTTTATTAAAAATTTTATTCAACTTTGTCTTAATCTAATGCAATATCTTTAACAGCTTCTATATAATCACATAAAGCCATTTATTCATATCTCTATCTTTCTTCTTCTTTCTTTTTCATCTCCAATGTATCTAGTATATCTACCATTTCAAATAATAAATCATCAATTAATAATTCAGTTAATCTTTCAGAATGAACTTAAATCATTTTTGATACTCCTCTAGCTAATAGATGTCCAGTAAAGGGATATTCAATTTGTACACTATCAATTTTTTTAACTAATGGATCAACTTTTCCTTTGATCTTATCTAATTTTTCATTGATTTCTTTATAATATTTATTTGGATTTTGAGCTTCAGATCTCAACAATTATTAATGTTTATCTATTAATGCATCTAATTCATGTTATCTTTATAATTCTCTTTTTTAGATTTCAATTAATTCATTTTTTAATTTATTATCATCAATTCTAACTTATTATTAAGGTTGTTATTAAGGTTATTTTTAAGGTATTAAATCCAAATCATTTTAATCATACTCTCCAGGTAATAATGGTTTTTTGGCTTCATAATGAATTAAATTGATTCCATCTTTCCAAATAGGATAATTATTTTATTATGGTTCTATATATATATCATCTACATTTTTTTCAAGTTATTTTTTTTAAACTTATTTCTTTTATTCTTTTGTTTTATATGGTGATTCTTTATTTTCTATACCTTTTTTCTTAGCATTCATAATATCTTATGCTAAATCAGGATGTTATTATGTTTTTAACTGTTTTAATTTTTCTTCAAATTGTTTATTTTACTCAGCTTTCAATTTCTTTTCTTAATCTACCATCCATTATAATTATTCCAATTCTCTCTTTTATTTCTTCATTTCAGAAACATCCTTATTATATTGCTCTAATTAGAATTATAATAATTACAATCATTTATCACTTATTCAATATCTTTAATAGTTGCATATGATTTTACTGCTGCAGGAGGTGGATTTTCTAATTATCTTCTTTTATTCTCTTTTTCTCTCTCAATTTATTGTTTTTGCAATTTGGTTTCAATTTTGAATATTTCATTCTTCTTCAAATTATCAAATTGTTTTGGTTTAGATTCAACCTTATCATTCCATGAAGGTTTAAACTTTTCTTATTTTTATGCACTTGAAGGTCTGATCTTTTAAACAGAATCTATTTTCTATTGTTAAACCTTTTTTGAAGCCTCTTTGAATTTAACATTAGAATGTAGTTTATTTTATTTTTAAGGTACCTATGATATATTAAATGAATATAGAAACATTTTCAAACTTAATTGCTTTAGATGGTTAGAGTTAAGATATTGGTTATGGTGATCCAAATGCTAACGAGTCTTAATTATAAAATTAGTTATCCATATTTAAAATAAAAATATATATACAAATATAATAATCATGACTATCTAAAAATAAAGCTAGATTATCTAGTTTAATAAGGAGAGATTGAAGGTAATTATAAATTAATTCTCTTTTAACTATTTACTTTTGGTAATTATATATCCAAAGAGGATTTATATCTGGAAGTCAAATCTAGAATTAATTATATTTATATATACTATAACATCGATTAGAATTTAACATTTTATTTTTAATAGATTTTAGATCTTAAGAAGATGTAACTTTTGTTAAATGAATTGTCTTCAAACTCTAAGGTTTATAATAAGATTTTTAATGTCGAACTATTATATGTGTTTCTGTATGGATTCTTTATGATTTTGGAGCATCATCATGTAGTAGAATTTCATTGATTTCATCAGAGTTCTAAGATTTTAGATAAGAATATCCTTCATAACATTGTTATTTGAATATTTTAGTCATTTGCAATGCCTTTACTATCTAAGAACATATTTAATGATATAAATATACTAGTTAAAACTTTTAGATAAATTTGTATCTTTAAATAATTTCTTTATTTGTAATTGGATGTGACTTTCTTTCTTCTCCTAATAAATATGGATGTTCCAAACATTGTTCAGCTGTCATTCTATCAATTGGACTATGAGTAATTGTATTTTTGATAAAATCTTATGCCATTCTTTTAAATATTATTAAATCTTTTTATACTCTGAGAGATGTGAAGGATATTTGATATGAAATTCATGACATAGAGTCTTGTAATAGTCTTTTTTAGTTTATCCCTCAGTCCAAATTGGATGTAGGTTGTTACATAACATTTGATAGAATATTATTCCAAGAGAAAATATATCAATTGCCTTATGTAATTAATATAAAATACTTGCGTTTATTCATAACCTTTAATGAGTTCAGGTGCAATATAATATGGAGTTCCAACTTGTTAACCTATTATTCCTCTACAAACAATTTAATATCCTAGACCTAAGTCTATTAATTTGACATGATTGCCATTAGAAATAAATATATTCTCTAATTTTAGTATAAGAAAATACCAGGTTTTAGATCTCTATGTATAATACCTTTTCTATGTAAGAAAGCTAAGGCATTTAATACTTAAAGCATAATGTTCCTAATTTAAAGTTCATCAAGTGTTTGTTCTTTCAATATTACATCTAATGTAGTTCCATTCAGTTTTTCCATTATTAGGTAGATAAAATTATAAGCAACTAAAACCTTATAATTTATAAGTAATTATTCTAACCTTGTATAATTTAACAATATTTGGATGAGTACATTCTTATAAAAGAGATGATTCATTTTCTTATTCGAAATATGGGGTGATCTACATTTATATAAGTATATACTTTAATAGCAACAACTTTATCTAACTCTTAACTATGGGCTGCAACTACAATTCCAAAACTACCTCTTCCCAATACTTCTATATATCTGAAGAAATCACTCAGTAAGATATCGTTTAAATTATCAACTAATTATTAAGGGTCCATTATTTAAATATATTATTATTTATTCATCACTTTGAATTGGTCAATGAACAAATGTAGACTACACCTTCTCCTCCACCAAATGCAAATTTGTTACTCTTATTTCCATAATCTACACAATAAACTCCTAATAAATTATTTCACAATATCTTTATACCCTCTTATAAATCTTATATGTAACCACATGTCTAATATTGACTATTAATATCAAATAATTTCAGCTCTTATCTACCACTACTACCAGCCAAAATTGTATCTCCATTGATTTTACTGAATTAACAAGAATAAACATAAAAATCACTGTCATTTTTATTTTTATCCCATTATATTTCCTAAATTAGTTATCTGGTGCCAAAATCCCACAATTATAACTAATTGTTAGTTCTATATGAGCCTGTCAAGATTTAACCATTTCTATATAATTATATATAAATAGATACCTAAAATCTAAACTATCCCCAGAAAGATTAGGACCATAGATTGTTCCAATAGATTTATGATCTCTAAGATCCCAGATCAAGAGATTACCATCCCATCCTCCAGAAAGTAGAATGTTAGGTGTTTCTTCTAAGTACTTAAGAGCGAATATTCTATTCTAATGGCCTGGTTGATTGCTTGTATAAATAATGATTATACTAATCAGCTTTGTCAAATGTGTGGATTACTTCCTTCTTTTCATCATCATAAACACGTATCTATTATAATCACTCTATATCATTAACTTTAAAATCTTTGCCAGCAGTAGCAAATTAATCTCCATCTGATCTTATATCTAAGGCCAATAATTGATTGCCCTATTCTACTGTCCTAAATAATTGTTTTCCTGTTTGAGCTTGCCACATCATAAGGGAGCCATCAGAATTAGCAGATAAAAACACACTTTTGGCTTTATTGGCAACATCTCTTCTCCATCTTATTGCAGTTGTAGGACTTGCTCCTTCTGATGATCCTTATAAATTAAATGCCAGTTTCCCTTAAATATTTCTATTTACACTTTACCAGACACAATATTAAAAACCTTTACTGTTCCATCTGAGCAACCAGCTGCTATTAATTGATCCTCAAAATCAAATCTCAAACAAAAGATTTCAAATTCAGGGTTTCCAAAGAATGTTTTTAATGATATTTTTTTTGACTTACTTTGTACTTCTCCAAATCTTATAATATATATATAAATAGATACTTTAGTTATCCATAACTATATTATGTTTATTTTTTATTTGTTTTCTTTTTATCCCTAGATGTTGATCGATCTTTTCTTTATTTTGGGTCCATTTAATATTTAATTAATGAAATTTTAAAATCCAAAAGACATCTTCTCTGTAATTTTTGTATATGCTATAATCTTAAGTGAATATTATGTATTTATATTTCATTATTTGCCTTATAGATATAACAATGTATCATATTAATTATTAATATAGAATAGTGGATCCAAAATTTTTATTGGCATTGAATCCACAATCATCTATATAATGATTCATTGGGCTTATATTCAAGCTTAAATACAATCACCTGGTTATCCCTCAAAAGATTTTGTATTCATATATTCCCTTAATCTTAGGCCAAAAATTATCAAGAACATACATTAATAGAAATTAAGAAAAGAACCAAAGAACATTCAGAAATCATTCAAAAAAAAGAAAACCTAAACTAATGAAGAAACATGAATTAGCAATTGATGAAGAAGATGAATTATTGTAAATCCAATTTAATATTATATCATTTAGTGATATCATTTAAGCAATATAACTTGATTCCTATTGTTTCAAATGTAAAAATATCAAATAACCAAGAACTCATCATTGTAAAGAATTTAATAAATGTATTCTAAGAATGGTAATATAAATTATCATAAATAGTATCATCATTGTCGTTGGTTTAATACTTGAATTAGATTGAAGAATTATAGATTCTTTTGTTAATTCATTTATCTATGCATTATTAAGTATGTCGTAATATGTTATATTCATTTCTATTGAACTCTTTGGTGAAACTTATATTGAAGAAATAAAAATTGATAAAAATCAAAAATTATTGACAATTTTAAAGAATTATTTTGTTCACTTTATATTAATAGGATTTTACCATTAACAGAAAATGAAAGTAAGACTAAAATTAAATATGACTCATTTGAATTATGATTAGTTTTCAAAATTAAAACAATTTTTTATTATTCTCATAATTACATTCATGCTACATTTAAACACATTATTTATGTATTGCATGATAACAATCCATATACTTCACTATTTTATTTTCTTATTATTATTAGTTTTTATTCTGGACTGAAAATGAAATAGGTTTCAAACATTCATAACATTACATAGCATTTCCTATCATTCCCTTTTTTATTCTAAATATATATATATATTATTTACAATTATAATTATTTTTCTTTCTTTACAAACAAATCTTAAATAAATACAATTTTTGCCTTTTATAAAAACATAATATAATTTGTTACTCTTTTAAATGCATAACTTGGAATGATTGGCATCTCTAAGTTAGCATTTTAATAAAGTAATCTATTAATTTCACATTACAATATTTGACAATAGTAATGATCATTGACATATAAAGGATTTTCAATAAATAGTTTTTAAAAATAAATGAAGATTTTCTTGTTTTTATATTTTAGACATTCTTCAATTAACTCTTCCATTATTTAATCATTTTCTATACATTCACATTTCTTAATCTTTTTGATATCCAATAAATTTCTCAATTCTTTTTCATTTCCATTCTCAGACATTTTGTCTATATGAATAAAGAATTCTCTAAAAACTCTTATTCTTGCACAAATCAATAACAATAATTAGATATAACTATATTTAAGACTAATACTAATCATATCATCTATACTTTATTTATATCTTTAAGTCTTATTAAGATTAAATAAATATTCTTAAGTAATTTATTATTATTAATAATTTACTTAAGAATATTATTATTATTATTATTAATCTTTGAAATCATCTAATTTAAAATATTATTACAAGATAGTGTTAAAATCTGGTTAAAATATCAAATAAGCAGAACCTTCTTAATCTATCATTAATAATGACTATAAATTAACAATATTCATATTTGATATTTTTTTATGAAAATCTAATTTGATTACAACTTTCCCATCAATGTTGGATAAACACAATTATTGTTGATCATTATAATAAAAAAGATACAAATTTTCATCATAAAGCGTTATGCCATCTATATGATTATCATAAAGTGTGTAAGATTTATCATCAAATTGTATTAATGTGTTATTAGATAGAATATAATGCTAATTTTAGATTGTTAATGATTAATATATATTATTAATAGGGATTGGCATGTTAATAGATGTGATTTCCATTTGATTATTGATAATGTAAATTGAATGCTTGGTTAAAAGTAGTATTAGTGATTCATTTATTCTATAAATATCCATAGGATTTTATATTTCACTGCAAATATCAATGGTCTAGTTGTTTAATCCTAAGACAAAATGGATTGTTTCTACCTTGAGTTAGTAAGCATACTTATTAATTTTTAATAAGAATTGCATTGTATATCAACTACTCAGAATCAATAATTTGAATGATTTTTATTTTGGATAGACTCTCATTACTTTCTCTTTGAAATACTTTAAGTTTCTATTCGTTTTTATTGTATATTAATAACAATAATTTGTAATCTACTATAAAATAATTGAATTACTTGACAAAGATTATAAAATATATAGGATTTCAGTTTCTTAAATAATACAATCCAAGAATTCGATTTAATTATCGAAATCAATAATTTTTTATAATTGTGCTGGTAAGATAAGTAAATTCAATTTATTGTTTTGTAAAATCAAAAACTGTTGATTGTTAATTGTTTGAATATTTAGGATGTTATCTAATAAATGAATGTAGCTATATTTGTTTTGGTTTTATGTAATGAACGATAAAACCTATTTATTCATATATTTAATAAATTAATGGCATAAAAGAGATAACTGAAACAACCAGACCCTGGTCAAGTAGTGAATAAAGACATTGTTTTTAGTGAAAATATTAGAAATGAGATGAAATTCTTTGATAAGAATAGAACAGAACATTTTCAATTGAATCCTAATAGAGGTATTGATAAATTTATATTCTTTTTAGTTGTCATTTTAGCTGAAAAACCTAATCATATAAGTATATATCATTATGAAATTACAAGAACCTTAATCACATTAATCATCTAGAAAAGAGAAGGATAATGATATCTTTGGAAATCCATATACAGATGATCCTGTTGAAGAAGCATTCTCAAATTAGAAATTAGAGAAGACTTTAGAATTAAGAAATTAAATTCCAAGATAAAAATACAATTTCCCAATGACATAAAATTAAGAAATCGGTTGGTTTGCTAACTAATTAGTAAATTTCATTATATTTTAGAATGTCTATAAACCAACTAAGAATTTTGCAAATTAATAATGTGAAATCACTAAATTTGTGGATAATTATTTTGAAATGACTCATGAAAATCCATTCAAAAAGAAAAGATCTTGATTAAACATTAATTTATCACAATATCTATAATCACTTATGTCTACTAATATAATCTCTATATTTTTTCAAAGCTTTTCTCACATCTTTAGTTTTTGCTTATGCTATTCTTATTATCAAATCTTTTAATTCAAATAATTCTCTGTCTTATTCTTAATCAATCCATGTTGAAACTAAAAGTCCATTATCTTATTATTATTCATAATTTGTTGGAGTATTATCAACTATTATTGTTCTTTCCAAAGGTCTACCTACTTTACTTATGTCCTAATCCAATCATTACTTTATTACTTTAACAAAATTATTCCCATTAAAAGTAGTGTGTGGTCTATATAATCTATAATCTATATATTCATCACATTATAATTCTGCTATTGCATGATCTGCATACTTTATATATATTATATATATACACTCTATAAACCAGCTGTAAAAATTATTATTTCACAATATTCTTTAATTCCTTGTAATAACTCAATTAGTCCTGGTCTTGGAATGAATTTGCCAATTTTATCATTCTAAACTTATTTATTTTATCTAATACATAATGACCCAAGGTTTCATCCAAATCTAATATTACACATAAAGAATGATGAAATGGTGTTTTAATAAATGGTACTTCAACTGGTTCTAAATTACTATATGATTCTCTTAAATGCATAACATATTATTATTAATGAGGTATTTTGAATAATGTTTTTAATGGTGATTAATATTATTCTTTCTATTAATTAACACTAGTAGATAAATAAATTGCATTAACTAATTATGGTCTACTACTTTATATATCTAATGATTTTAATTAACTTAATTAATATCTACAAGTAGTAATTACAGGTTATATATTAGGATTATCATTTTATAATAATTTTTCTATTATATTTTTTATGAAACTATTATTCTTTTTTAATTCTTAAATAAAACTAATACAAGGATTATTTTTACACAATATTAAATCTATTTTTGTTTATAATTATATAACTAAACCATTCTATTATTTTGTTTATGTTAATATTTTCTTTAAAAAATTACAAAAATTCTCTAATAAAAGTTTTGTTAATACTATCATTTCTTATTGATGTTCTTAAGAATTATTATTAAGTAAATTTTCTTTCATTTAACATTATATAAATGAAATTACTATGTCACTCAAAAATATTGATTCTTAAATTATCTTTTATGTTAATGGTCTTACAAAACAATATATATATTATTCCCATTTAAACATATAAACAGATTCCCAATATAATTAAAAATTAGGAGGGTCCTCTTTATTTTACAAACTTTCCATTATCTATTTAATATTCTAAAATAAAAGTTATCCAGAATTTAAATCAAAATGTTAAGTACTCTGAATGAATGTATCAAATTAACTACCAGGTCTAGAAAAATTGAAAGTAGATGTAGCTTTCATGCGTTCTGATTATTTAGAATTACTTCTCTTTAAACCATCACATTCTTATTCAATCGTTCTTAATGTTCTTTTAGCTTCTAACATAGGAGTTTCAATTTATTTCCTTTAGTTTTGTAATTGTTTTATAATATGGTAATTGTTTCCATACTTTAATGCAAAATATTCTATTGTATAATATCAATTAGATTACTAGCAATTTCATCTGAACTCTTTTCAAAATGGGCGAGCACAGGAAGAGTTTGTTTCATATATTTAACAATATAATTTATATTAATTCATAAGTTCATCAAATTAACTATTTTTATTTTACTCAATAGTATTTCAAATTCAATCGTATTATTATAAGTTAATTTGAATTTTAAAGCACAATATATCAAAGTATTCAAGATACTATTACTACCTATAAACATATATTTATGTACCAATAATTATAATAGTGTATAAAACTTAATTAATTGAATCATAACATCTAAATTCTAAAAGATTTTTAAAATGCTTGATAAAATCCACAGTTCAATCTTTATAATATTATCAGCCATTTTAATATAAAGAGATTATTATAAAATTATAGAATTTTGTAAATAATTCAAAATTTTCATTTATTATTTACTTAATTAAGTAATTGTGTATTTTACTCTCAAGTTAAATACATTTATTCTTTTTTTTATAAAATGATAGTTCTAATTTTCTGATAATTTTAAATATCTTTCCAGATTTTATTCTTATTCAAATACAATATAACATAATAATGTTTTTAATTAATGTATAATCATAAATTTATGTAATTTACTCGATAAATATAAATAATGAAATTGAATAAATCATAAGATTAATAAATTAATATATATAAACATTTTCTAAAGTTGTTAGGTTATAAAATATCTTATTTTTAACTTACTATTTTATTTTAAATGATCTATTAATTGATATTTTTTAATTCATTATATAATCAACAACCCATTTAGTTTTATGAATGTATATATATTCTTATATCAATAATTATTATAATTTCAAAATTCAAATATCAACTTCTCCATCAATTATCTTCCAAATCTGCAATACGCATTATCGAAATATTTAGTTAATTTTTCTACCTATAAATTAGACTCTGATAATTTCATAATCTAATCATTTAAACATATCTGAATTTATCCATAAAATGATTTATCATTGCTTTTCATATCATCAATAATTTCAATATTTTATTAACTAATTCTAATCTATCTTTAATTGATATCTTAGCTTTATCTCTTATCAATTTCACTTCTTAATTCTTTAGTTAACTCAACCCAAGTGTATGTTTCTGGACATAGTAGTTCACATGGTTCAAAATCACCCTTGTATAACATCTTATTAGTATTTTATAAGTAAAATCCTAAATAATAATATTTGAAATCTGGAAAATATTAATTCATTAATTTAACATACTCTATTTCAACTAAAGCCCCAAATGTTCCAAAATTGAATTCTTCAAATATTGGATCATAAAAGTAATAAACTGAGCTCAATGATGTTTCAGTAATATCTACTACACCTACAGCTACCAAATTATCTCCAAGATAATATCTCATATGAAAACATCCCAAAAATAGAATTTTACTAGCATCAATTTATGATTATATTAATTTTTATGAATCTAATCCTTCTTCACATAAAAATTATTTATATTTTGTTTTATTCTCTTTTATGTTATTATGAATCTCTTTGCAATATCTTTTGTATAATTATAAATTTTCATTAGAACATTTGGCTGGTTTTAATAAAACTTTCATATTTCCTATCTAAAATGAATTTGAGTTAAATGTAAATGTGTCTATTAATTTAATGTTTTCTATTTCATTATTATAAGTATATATATATACATTTTTATTGATTAACATCATTTTATTCAATAAGCATCTTATTTTTTTCTTAATCAATTGATTTTTGAATTTAGATTAAATGTACATTAGCCTTTTATAAATTATCCTTTGTAAATATTGATAGAAATCCAGTAGTTTCTTAAATAAATAAGAATTGATTGCTTATAAAATATTTTTAAACAAAAGGAATAAATTTTAAAGCAAACTTATTAACAGGAAAATCTTAAAATAACTATTTTTTATTAAGACCATATAAAAGCATTATAAAATTAGTGTAATAATCTCCTTTATGATTAACTTAAGATGGAAATATTTTAACAGTATCAATATTAAGATTAATTTAGAATATTTATTGAACCTATTCTATTATTAATTCCTTTTATTCAAAATATTCTTTAAATAATTAAACTACTTCTTGTATATTTTAAGCAATAATTTGTTAGAATTATTAAAAATGTAATTTTAAGGAATTTATTATTTCTTATGATACTATTTATTATTGTTATTTTTCTTATACTAATTTCTATTTAGGTTATATCTCCTATTTTTATTGTTATTTGTTCGAGGTTTTTTTATATTTATCTTCCTTTATATTGTTGTTTATTAATTCTAATGTTTGCTTCATATCTTCTACTTTATTTTTCAGTATATCAGATTATACTACATTTAAAAAGGTTTTAGCAATCTTCCTTTATCCTTTTTTATGTTATATTAAAAGAGCATTGGCTCTGATTGTGTAAGCTAAACAGCAATTTAATGTGAAATTATATTTATAATAATAAGTACCACATCTTCGCCATCCTCTATCCATCATGGATTGATAAGTGGAGGGATATAATTTATCTTGTTTGAATAGATTGATAGTATATTACTTGTTGAGAATCCTAAGGAATAAGATTTTCCTTTATTACAATAAGAACAAGTGGAGGAATGATCTCCTTTAAAGTAGGCTAGATTGATATTATCAATATTCATATTAATTATTTGACTAATAAAAATTAAATCAAACAGCTTGGCTTGGGTCTTCCTTAGCTGAATACAAATGTGGGTGAATGTTTGGTAAGACACCTCCATCAGCAATGGTAGTATTGACCATCAATTTGTTCAATTCATCATCATTTCTGATGGCTAAGAGAATGTGTCTTGGATTGATTCTATTCTTCTTGTTATCTTTAGCAGCATTTCCAGCAAGTTCTAAAACTTCAGCAGCCAAATATTCAAGAACAGCTGATAAATAGACTGGAGCACCAGCACCAACTCTTTCTGTATATCTTCCTTATTTCAAATATCTTGACACTCTTCCAACTGGGAATTATAAACCAGCTTTGTGTGATCTGGAAACTGATTTGTGTGCTCCAGCTGCCTTTCCTCCTTTTCCTGCTTTTCCTTTTCCTCCTGATGACATTTTGTGTTTAATTAAATAATCAGAATAGATAATTTGGTTCAATTTTAAACAGACTAAAAATTCCTTTATTTAATAAATCAACCAATCAAATTCAAGATCTCAATACTCTACTCAAAGAATTAACACCCAATCACATGTCAAGAATCATTTTCTACACCAGATTCCTCAACTATATTCTTAGGGGAGTACTTTTGGTTTTTATCTTGACTTTCTAAGATACATCAAAAGATATATGAAGATATGATCAAAATTAAAAAAAATTAAATATAAAAATATACATTTATTATTATTTATATTTTTTAATTTCATTATAATATATGTAATAATTTACAAGAAATAATATTTCATATAAAATAGAAATATTTATTTTTGTTATTGATTATAGTATCTTATATAATTCATATGAAAATAATTTAGAAGCTTATGTATATAATGTAGATAAAAAATATATACAAAATAAATAGTAAGATTTTGAATATATCTTTAAACTTATACTTTTGAAATAAAAAATTAATATATTTCAAATTGGAGTAAATTGAAATATTAGATTATTTATAATAATAGATAAAATATTGAAGGTAAGTTGATTATTTAAATTGTATAATGATAATGGTATTAAACAATTATTATGTTAAATTTCATTTTGATTATGAATGTATTGAGAGAATAGAACTTATTATGGAATATAAGTTGGTTATTTATAAATAATTTTTACAATATAATAAGTTCTTTTATGATTATTGTTCATTTAAAATAAATTTTATTGGTAGAATATTGTATATAATTGATATAATTAAATAAGAATTCATAAACAAACTTGTGATTGATAAAATTAATATAAGATGAATGAAGAAATAGATTAACATTTAGAGATGCAAGAGACAAATATTATGTTATTATAACAATTTGAGAATGATACTCAAAGTCAAGAACCTTAGAGTCCATATCAATTTTCAGAACATTCAGATTTACCTTCACCATAAAGGAAGTAATCTAGAAAGAAAGAAAAGATATTAGAAAAACTTTTATCAAACAGGGCAAAATTTAATGAAAGAGTAGCAGTCTTCAATTTGATAAATTCGCTTTAATTAGTATGGTTATTGGAAAAGAATAGGCAATTACTTTATACAATTTGAGTTCGATAATAAATATAGAAGGATAATCAAACTTGAAATTTTATGATAGTTCATCTATTTTAAGTTTTTATAGATGGAATAAATAGGGATTCACAGTATATTATTTGATAACAATTTTGGTGATGGTCCATGTATTGAAATTATTAACATGTTTAGTAGGTAAGAATGAAAATGAATTAGGGTATTTTTGTGTATTACAAAAGAGTGAATAATTGTTGACTATATTTATGATGTTAACATTTACTTGTGTGATAACAAGAGGTATAATAACAATATTATTGTTAATTGATTATGGTTAAATATTATAAACACAATCTTATATTTATGGGAAAGAGGATAAAATAGCTTAATCATAAACAATATAATTTACAGTAGTATTAGTGATATTTGTAGCTGTAGAAATAGTAATGGGATTGTAAAGTTTATTATATGCAGGATAAGCAAAGGAGAAATATAAATGTAAAATATATAATTAATTGATATATAGAAATGAGAGTGAATGAAAAGAAGATAGCCTAGCATTATCAGATAGCTTACTAAATAACTTTAAGATAATTCCTGGTTTGATTATTATTATATTAATAATGTTTAATAAATTAAAGAATTCATTTCCTTTTAGATCTGGTCCAAATTTCTTATTATGTTTCTTAGGATTTTCAGGTGTAGGTTATTTTGGTACAAGCTATTTGCATAAACAAAAATATGATCATCCTATAGTTTAAGAAGCATTAAGAATATTATAACATAATGATTAAATAATTCAATTGGCAGGATATCCATTATCACTTTAAATTAATATGGGTAGTAATGCAACATAAAATAATGATGTTTGTCAATTTTCATTTTAAGTTGTTGGTCCTAAAGGTTCAGCAAAAGTTGAATTAATGGGATAATCAAGAGAATTATAAGAGATATAAAATAAAACATAATATTATATTCCATCTCCAAAACAAATGATAGATGTGATGAAATATAATAAAGATATTGAAGCATTATAAAATTGGAAATTGACTCCAGATGTGAAATTATGGAAAATTGATCATTTAGTTGCTGATATAGGATTATAAGGAGATTTTAGAATAGTTTTAGTTGATTCAAATTAAGTATTAAAAAAGGATGTTGCTCAAATAATGATTCCACCTTTAGTTAGTGATCGTAGAACACTTTATGATCTAAAATTAGAAATAGATGCTCGTAAACCTAAAACACCAACTACTGAATAAGAAATAGAAGAAGCAAGAAGATATAGACAATAAGAATTATATAGAAAAGTAGGAGGTGTTAGAAATATAACAATAATTAGTACAATAATTGGAGCTATGGCTATTTATAATTATGTAAAAGCAAATAGAGTATGATTTATTTATTAATTTAGAGAATAAGTGTATTGAATACTTAAATTCATAGATAATCATTAATTATCATATAGAGTAATCCTTAAATAAAGAAAATATTTGGTTAGAATATTTAATTTAATTAATAATTAAGAGGTGGATAGATAAGAGATTAGGCTGAATTTGAGACTGATATGTATGGATAGAAGGCAGGTGTTTGTTATATAAAAGGTTAGAAGAACAAAAAAACAAATGATTGGGAAATTGAAACAATTGATGTTGCTATTAAAGATGCTTAAGGTATTATCAATCAGAAAATTAGAATACTTGGTTGATTTGTGTATTTCATATTATATTAAAATAAATAATTAATATTATTATTAAAATTAAAATTTGTGATGAAAATCAATTGGCTCATGAATTAACTTATATTTTATATAAGCTATATTGATTCAATTTGCATCACCACTCTGATATTATATATAATTACATTATATGATGATATTTGTATAAATCACTCCACTATGAGATTTTATTGATTATGCAATTATACTCTGATATATTTTAATATTATAAAGTATATGAGCTTTATTAATATATTATTCTTATTAATATATTGAAGTAATAGTTGTAATATAGTTATAGAGTTTTATATTGTAAATAAACATTATTATATTTCATATATTAAATTCGAAATTGGTTTAGTGATTTTAATATCAAGTTGAGATTATTTTTTATTTATTAAAAGAAAATGTAATCTTTGAGTCATTTGGAATCAAGATTAAGTAGTTTGTAGGACTTTAATAAAATAAAGGATCCTTAGTCTGTATTGGAAGAAGAATTTAATAAATAGGAGACATTAAAGAAATAGATAAATGATTAAAATTCTTAATTCAATTTAATTTTTTAGGAGATAAGAAACAATAATATATATAAATAAAGAATATATTAGAAATTGATAAAACATGAAATGGAAATCAAACCTATAATTTTAGAGAAAGTGGATTAGCATTTATAAACAATTAGTAAGTTTGATGAATCATAATCAATTTCAAGTTTAGAGACTACAAAATAATTATAGATTTCTATTGATGAATTAATTAAGTCTATAAATAAGAAAAAACAATAGATTTACCCTATGGAACATTAGATGTAACTGTTGAAATATTAATAAAAATAAGCTGAAGATGAATTAATTCTAGCTGAATTTGAAATGCTTAGATCAAAATAATTATTATAATCAATGAAAACTAAAATATAAAGATTATAGAGCAGAAGAAATCAATATTTACAAGAGTTAATGGATTAAAATGATCTTCATAAAGCAAACACAGAAGAATAAAAGAAAGAATATTAAGTAATTTAAGATCATATCAATGAATTAAAAATATAAATACATGACTAAAAATTATAAATTGAAGATTTGAAATAATAAGAGAGATTCAAATGGGAATCTAGTGGCAATTAAATGATAATAATTAAAAATTATTTAGCTATGACAAAGTTATATGAATTTTGTACAAATTAAATTTAAAAGATTGATATCAGTTAAGATTCTAAAAATGAAAATGAAGAATCTGAAGATTTAATTATTGAATCTTCTGAAAATTCCTTTTTAGATGATGGAGGAGTTTTTTAAACTTAAATAAAGTAAACTTCACTTAAATCTAAATAATCAATTAAATCTATTAATTCAATTAAGAAGAATTAAAAAAAGGCAATAAATTATCAATAATCTTTATAAAATTTTATTACTGCAAAAGAATTGATATCATAAGTAAAATTGAATGTAGATATCAATATAATTGAAGAAATCATTCTTAAAGCTTATGAAGAATAATCTAATTTATAAAGATAATTAGCAGAATAACATACATTTCTTATTGAATAGAAGGGTGAATGTATTAAAGAATATAATAATATATAATAAAAGGTATATAATTATATTTTATAAATATTTAGTTTTAACTTGATGATGGTAACAATAAAGAAAGAATAATAAAATGTTCAAGACCATCTAATGATAATTTTAATTAAAATGTAATAACATCAAATATTGCTTTATCAAGTGTAACTAATAAATTAAAAATTATTTAAACAATAAGTAGAAGATAATAAATGGAAGATTTATTTCTATGTATGAATAATAGAGCTAGTATTTTCTTGTAAAGAATAATAAATATTCTTCATAATATAGCATAAAGAAGTGAAATTGCAAATTAAGATATGATTGAAAAATATTAATAAGCTTAAATGACTTTAATGTTTGTGAAATAAAATTAATAATAATTATAAATGAATTTGGATGATTATCCAGAATTTAAAAAATTGAAAAAATCACATAATATTACATTATTATATAATGATAATCAAATATTTAATGAATTTAAGTAATATTGTTAATAAATAACAGAAAATGAAATTGATGATAAAGTATTATCTGAAAATTTTGATGCTTTTGTTTAGTTATGTTTGAATAGAATAGCATCTGAAAGTTAATGCATTTATGAATAAATAGCTATAATATGTAATTAAATAAAAATAGAAACACAATAATTAAAACATTTTTGTCATATATCCTCTACAGAATAAATACCATTACCTCACATTGTTTAGATGACTTACAATATGGCTGCAGAAAAGTTACAAAATTATACAGATTCCAAAATCAGTGATCCTAATATTACTACAAAAAGAAAGCAATTGGCGTATTTGAATTGGTATTCATTTTAGACGAAGATCTTTGTTGTTAGATGAAAGAAACTCATAATAAGGAGAGACAAATGAAGAAAACTATGAAAAATATTACAGTTAAATAAAAAATGGAATAGAAAATCCTTAAATAAAAAGAGATATATAAACAGATTCTACTATGGTAGCTAAGACTAGTTTACTTTATGATAATTATACTCCTCGTACTGAATTCATTAAATAAAATAGATAATTAACATTATCTTTAAATAGAATACAATCATGTAAAGATATATATATATATATAGTGAGTCATATTTATCATTAAATAAATAATTAAGAATTTAGTAATAATTTTAAACATAATATACATAGAGAACAGAAAACTATTTAATATTTAACTAATCATAGTACTCAAACTAGACCAGGAAGTAATAGTTTAGCTATGATGTCAACTTATAGATAAGAATGTAGAACTGAACATAATATTAATAATGATAAATCAAAGACTTTTAAATAGATAAAAAGTAAATCATAAATATCAAAAGTTATATTGAATGAAGCCAAAAAATAAATGCAAAAAATAAAAACAATTAATAAATTATAATTTAACCAATGATATATCTTTTATATAACTAATAATATATTAAATATCTAATGTTTTCTATTATCTTATAGAAAATAATAAACATAATATATAATATTTATACAATTTATATTATAATATGGGAATATGTGGAGGTAGGTCTAAAAGTTAGGAAGACTAAGTTCATAAACTAAGTCAACCTATCATAACCAATGGTGAGTTACAAATTAAGGTGTTGTTGAAGAACATCACTTTGAAAATGACTGGTGTGAGATAATGTTCCATTGAATTTGATTTAGGGTAATGTAAGTACACATCACCGGTGCATATAGATAATAATGGAGATCATTATGTATTAAAATTCATAGAAGGAAGTGGCGAGCTAGTTTTGATGGAACCTTAAAGATGACAGAGTAATAGATGCGAGAATCCAATATGAAAATATCAGTGATTGATACTTAAGTAATTGGATAAGCCACCATCAATTTATTTGAAGCTGCAGTAGGACCATTTCATTTTCAATTACCAATTCGAGGTTAAAGTACTGGAAATGTTACTTTTGATTTGAAAATGAATCAAATATTGTAAGCAACTCTTTAAAGTAAGTTTATCATTTGGGAATTAAATTAAAGTCTTAGTGATGTTAGATATAACTATAATTTGCGTTTGGTGGTATAAATATTTATTAAAATAAAAGACTTCATAATTCTCATTCATCTCTGAACATTCAACCACTTTTGTTAATCCAAATTATAGAAAATAAAATGAAAAATAGAGAAGTATAATAGCTTCTAGTCGTAAAAGCATTTTAGATTAGGATATATTAAGAGATTCCATAATATCGTTACCAAAAATACCATCTATGATAAATAGTAGTGGAGGTGTAAATCAATCTCTTGAGTCGATTATAGCAGCTACTCCAACTAATAAAGGATAATCACCTGCTTGTTAACCTTATCATAGAATAGAATGGGATCATGCTGGAGATGAATTGACTTTGATAGTAGAATTACCAATATCTGAATTTTAAGGTTCTGCAATTCAATTATGTTTATGGTCAATTTCATCAAATAAAAATAGTTTAGGTAATAGTAAATCTCCTCATAAAACAATTATAAAAAAGACTTAAAATAAACATGATTCAGAATATATGGATTTAGAGATTTAAGATCATCATTTGGTAGCAGAAACATATATTAATTTATCAAATTTAGAAACAAATATTGTTGCTGATTTGGGAGCAAAGTTTTTTGTAATTAAAAGTTAATAGGCTAAATCAATATGGTATCATGGTGTTGAGGTAGGTAAAATAGATTATGAAATAAGTGTAAGATTACCAAATTATTTATAATAATCATCATTTGGTGTTTAAACAGAAAAGGGTATAGTATCAACTGCATCTGTTGTAGGAAATGTTGAAAATATTAGTGTAACAGAGATTAAGATGATTTAAATTGAATTTTAGAAATTATCTAGTTCTATATTTAAGATTGAACATAAAACATTAAATATGGATGATAAATTAAAGGTTCGTTAAGATATGGATCAATAACTTAATAAATTAGCTTAATTATTGGGATAATCTCATGGTACTAATATTAAAACATTTTAATATAAATCTGAAGATGATTTAATGAAAGCCTAACATTTATTGATTTAATTATCGATTCATTTGGTTGATTATTCAAAAACATTGGCACCATTCAATGCATATTTTGAATGTTTAAATTAAGTATTAAGTAGAGGAGAATTAATGTTATAATAATTAGGATTTTTTAAAGCTTTAAATAAGAAGTAATCAGAATTAAAAACAGAAGTTGGTTTAAATTATTAATCTTTTTTAGTAAATACACTTCGATTCACTTTATAAAAATTAAATTAAAAAGATCCTAGTTAAGAAGCTAGATAATTATATATAAAATTTTTAGTAATTAGTTATTTTCGAATTCCAGAATTTAGAGCAAAATTTTTAGAGTTAATTAATAAAACTGATGATCCTTAATTATTAGAATTAAGAGGAACTGAATTTATATAAGAAGATGATCCAACAAATATTGATAAAAGTACAAAAACCAATATCTCAATTTTCGATTGGTAAAATTATTTTCATACTTATTTATCTGATAAAAGCAAAGGAATATAAAATTAATCAGCATTAAATTAAATATTAGATGATGAAAGTTGGAAAGAACATATAAGACATAGATCTATAAATTTTAGTTTTTTTGTAGAAGAATGGGCTAAATATGTTAGAAATATATTATAAGTAAAAATACTTCCTTGGTAAGATATTCCAGGTTATAGAATTTTGGTTAAAGCATTTATGTGTGAATTAAAATAATAAGAATCTGTTCCTGATGCTATGAAAATAGCTTTAAAAAGTTTGCTTTAGAATGTAAATTTATTAGGAATAGTAGTTAATTTGCAATTTAATAAAACAAAGTAATATATATATATAATTAATAAGTCTATATAATGCAGAATAAGTGATAGAAACATTTGAAATTTTAGATGTTTGTTTTAGTACATTGACAACAATGCCTGCTTACTTTGATTATCCATTCTTTTTAAAAGGAATTAAATAAATTATTATTGATTCAGAACATGCTATAAATATAGCTAAATGTGTTTGGCTAATTTACAATATTTATCCTTTATTCTCAAGTAATTTTATTAATTTTAAATAAGTGGACTTTAAAAAAGATATATGTGAATTTTTATTTGAAAAAGCAGTTTTTAAATTATTTTTACATTGGAGTAGAACAGTAAGATTAGTATTTCATTACTTTTTGTTATATAGAGTATCTCATTAACATAAGAACCCAAAAGTTGGAGGTTTGGATGAAGAGTAAGGACTTTATGATAATTAGTTAGATAGATTATACAACAATATACATTGATTAATAGACCAAAGAAAAATTAAAGTTATTTTGAAAATAGGTAGCCTCAATAATAATTGATTGTAAGATGTATGAATATTGATTTAGTCTGATTATATTTATATGAAATACTTGAGATTTCTAAGTAAATTAGAATAAGCTAAGATTAATGAGAATTAGAGGGAATATTAATAAGAACATTAAAGTTACTATTATAAAATGGTACATAAGAAATTAAGAAGAGAATAAGAATTAAAGATGTAATAATAAGAAGAACCTAAAATGATGGAATAATTAAAATTGGAGAGAATGATTTCAGAATAAGATGAATCATTATAAAAACAGAATTAATTGAAACCAGTGATCGTTCCTAGACCAGTAATGCACAAAAAGTTGAGTTGTAAGATGAAATGGATAATGATGTAGATAAGCATGAAGTTGAAATTAATGAGATGCAATAACAATATTTACGATTATCCATTCGGGAATTCGAGGAATAATTAAAGAATTATAACAATTGGAGATAATAAAATTTAAAGAAAATGATTGGTAAATATAATGAGGAAGGTATATTTAAATATTTATATATTTAGATAAACACATTATTCATCTAACTTTTGAAGTACCCAAAGTTGATGTTCTAAGAAGAATAGATGAAAAAGAGGGTGCTTGAATAAATTATTATATAGATTATTATTATTAAATCAAAAACCAAAGGTTTCAGCATCTGCATATTGCAAGTAGAGGAATCCATCATCTGGATCTTTGTATTAATCGTAAATATTTCTGAGTTTATCATCTATTTATTGATTATAAAATATACGTTCATTCATTAAACTTTTTCCACAATACATAAAAAGAGTTGAAGTCTTCTCATCTAAGTTCAATTTCTTTTTGATTGTATTTTTGAATTCATTAAATGAGAAACTAGAATTTACCAAAAACCTATATTGAATCATTTAAATTAAATTACTTCACTTTTTACAATTAAGGTAATTTACAACCTGGAATCTTTTCAACAATTATTGGAATCATTTCAGGATATTTTGCTAATTGCTCCTATACTCTTTTCTTTCTCTCTTCTAAATTATGAGAATCTTTATAAGTTTGATACTTTTGTTTTTACATAATTATTTATTTTTACTATAATTAATAATAGTATTGATCAGGTTTTAGTACTACATAATCTATTTATCCTTGATGATTAAATAAGATTTCTTAATTAAATTCATTTAAAAATAATGATGGCAATGTGTTCCAAGAAGGCCTATCTGAAAAGAAGGTCTGTTGATAATAAATGTAAATTTTTATTCTAAATTTTAGATGATGTAGATACCAATATTTTTTAAGTTAAGTTTGATTGTTTAAAAGATAATGTTGTTAAAATACATTAAGGAGATCCTGTTATGTGTTAACAATGTGAGACTGTTCTTAATAAATATTCAAAAATAGAAGATGATGTTTAAAAACAATAATTTGGAAAATAACTTTGGATATGTGAATTCTGCAATCATTAAAATTATATTCAAATGGAAAAAGAAGAAATACCTACCAATGAAGATACTGTTTATCTTATTTAATCTGCTTCAGAATAATAATTGTAAATAGAAGATGCTGATAATTCAATTATATTTTGTATTGATACTAGTGGATCTATGTCTAGTACTGTTGAAATCAAAGGAAAAGTCAATTTTAAACATGGAATATCTTCTGAAGAATATGAAATGCTTAAATAATTTATTGAACCTGGAGATGAACATTAAATATGGCCACAATTTAATACTAAACAAGTCACTCATGTGTCTAGAAAATAATGTGTTATAGCAGCTATTGAATAATAAATTGGAGAATTAAAGAAGAAAAATCCAAATAAATTAATTGGATTAATCACATTTAATAATGAAGTTGTTGTCTATGGTGATGGTTCTGAAATTCCAATTACTATTGCTGGTGATAGACTCTTTAAATAAGATGAAATAGAAAATCTTTTAGAAGGAACTGCTAAACAACTTATGAAATATCCAATTAAAGTTCAAGCTGAGACACTCTTAAAAAAATTTGAGAAACTCTAAGAAAAAGGTTAAACTGCCTTAGGTCCTGCATTGATTTCGGCTTTGTAATTAGCTAAAATTGGTAAACCTGGATCCATGATTATCATATGCACAGATGGATTAGCCAATTTAGGATTGGGATCTTTAGAAAATGATACAAATAAACAATTCTATGAAGATTTGGGGGTGTTTGCTTCATAATTTGGAATTGTTATTTCAGTTGTTACAATAAAAGGAGAAGGATGCAAAGTTGATATTCTAGGATCCTTATCAGAAAAAACTAATGGAACTGTAACCAGAGTTAAACCTGAAGATATTGAAAAAGATTTTGCTAATATTTTAAAAGATGAACTTGTAGGTACATAAGTTTAGTTATTTGTAAATTTGCATCGTGCTTTAAAGTTTAGAGGAGAAGAGGATCCTAATTTGACTAATAAACTAAATAGAGTTATTGGTAATGCAACTATAGCTACTACTTAAACATTTGAATATTAATTAAAAAATGATCACGAATTACAAAAAGAATAAATTGATATTAAAGATTTAAAGACTGTTCCATTTTAAATCAAAGTTAATTATACAAATTTATAAGGTGATAAACTTATGAGAGTTGTTACTCAATAAGTCTCAACAACAGAAAATGTAAAAGAGGCTGAAGAGGAGGCTGAAGTAGAAGTCATTCATAAAAGAATGGCATAAAGAACTGCCTAAATAGCAAAGAAAGGAAATTATTCAGAGGCATAGACTTATAATTTGTAATGGGATGGCTACGTTTAACAAAATGTTAATATTAATAGTAATATTTCGAACTAAGAAAAAAATTAGACGTTCTAAACCTGTAATCTAAAATTGTAAACTGCTGTATTGAAATAAGAATTACGAAAGGACAAATTATAATCTCAACCATTAATAACATAATAATAATAATAATAATAGTAATAATAGTAATAATAATAGTAATAATAATAATAATAATAATAATAATAATAATAATAATAATAATAATAATAATAATAATAATAACTTAGTTTTCTTGATAGAGTAGCAGCATTTATAAAAGGAGATGATAAAAAATAATAATAATCATAACCATAATTATAACCAGCTTAAATACTAGTTCAATAATCTTAAATACCTGATGAAATCATTGTTGATTAAATTCCTTAAATGAAAAAAATAAAAAAGCAAGAGAATGAGAGTCTAAGTTGTTCAGATGAAGATGAAGAAATGGCTGATCTATTTTAATTTGAATAAGGAAAATATTGAATACAATTTTTATTTTATAGATTCAATATTTCTTAATTTTATTTCTCTCTTATTGAACTATTTCTATAAATAAATTAGAAATCATACATGTTATTATTAGTTTTTTTGTGTAAATCCTTAATAGTTCTAATTAAAATCTTTCTATTTTTTTAAATATATTTCTACCTTCTAATATATAGATGGAAATCTTGATAATTTCATAAAAAGATTGTTCCTAATAATACTACTATTTGAAAAAACAATAACCTAATAAGTTATAAACCTAACTAATTTAATCATTCTTAAAAGTTATAATGAGAAAGCTGTTCTAACTGAAATCAAAAAATAAAAACTTAAAAATTTTAGCACTAAAAAGATTAAAATTTAAGAATTAGTAATTTTATTAAACATAATCATTCTCAAGTGGCTTATAAAATAATAGCTCTACTCAAATTGATATTTAAGTAATGTCTAGGAATGAAATTCAAATAGACTTCATAAATTCTTTAAGGTTGGTCAACTAGAAATCAATTGGAATCCAATTTACTTAATCTAGTTTAATTCCATCAAATATTTTGTGAATTTCATCTGTTAAGTAGTAAAATCTTTTTCCAATTTGTGGTAAATAAGTTAATTATTCTATAAAACCCTTCTGCCCAAAATACTAAAATTTAATAACTAAACTTTAATGAATCAAATTAATTTAACAATATCATCATAGATTTAATGAATTATGAATATTTTATTTATTCTATCAATATTAGATTAGACTATATATAAATTTTAACGTCCTACTTATTTATAAAAATAAACACATTTTATTTATATAAAGATTGGTCTTTTAAATTTCTGAATTTGAAAAGTCATGTTTAAACCTTAGATTTTAATTATATTAACTACAATAGTTTTTATATATGTAGTAATCCATTTGAAATTATCACAAATAGACTTTAAATATGTTGTAAAAAAATTTAAAGTTATTACAAATCTAAACAGTTTTACTGAAATCCAAATTGAATTTTGTTGATATCTTATGATTTGTGGATCAATTTTATTTGTATTATTAATTATCTCTCTATAAATTATAAAAAAATAACTGCCATGCAAATTGAACCAAAGTAAAAAAAATTTCTAAATAAACTTATATGAGTGATATCATAAAAAAATATACAGTTTTTTCAAATTTGGTTATTAATAGAAATTTGCATATTATGTGATGAGATAATTAGATTTAATTAATTAAATTATCGAATTGATTTAAATATTTGATTTATTCTTTGATTTTGAAGAGATAACAGAAAATTTGTACTATTTTTTAGAAAAGAAATTGAAATTTATTGATTAAGTTTAATCAACTAAAAATGAATAAAAAATTCCAATAAACCTTTTAGGATCATAAACAAGTGAAAATATAAATAGATTTTGAAAATTAAGAAAAAAAATAATTTAAAAATTCCAGAATTCTTAAGAATTTAGATCTTATAAATTACGCAAATTGAATTAATTTTAGTTAAATGATTTTTGAATAATAAATAGCTTTCGTCATTAAAACTGATATTCAACTCTATAAATTGCAATTAATATTGCAATAAAAAATCATTAATAATCATAAAAAAATACAAATGATAAACTATGTGGATACATATGAAGACTAAAAACTATAATAGTTTGAGGAAGAGCTTGAACTATTTGGTATTGTGAGTTCTCCAAATACTCTTATTTTGTCTGATCCAGGATAAACCTCTTGTGTAGAATAAGGTAGATAATATATCATAAGACTTTCATTAGATTCTAATTTATTGACTCCATAACAGCAAGAAATTCAAAAAATAAAATTACCAATTCAAAGAAGACGTCCTCCAAAAAGAATTCAATATACTTATCATAAGAAAAAGAAGCGCCCTGCCCCAAAACCCATTATCCATATCAAAGAAAATGGATTGAAGGTGTGTCTTGTCATGGAAAAACCCAAATCTAATGCCCATCCTTTCTCTAATATTGAAGATAAGAGAATTTTGGAACTTGTTCTTAAGATAGGACCTAAGTTTTATAAAATATCAAAGTCATTTCCAGGGAAGAGTGTCAGCATGGTCAAGAATCGTTATTACAAATACCTCCGTTATAGATGGGATGAAGTTATGGGAAGGTAATTTGAATTTAACTATCATTTAGTGAGTATAGACACATGAATTCTCTTCCAGAAGATCAAAATTTTGAAAGTCAAAATGGATTCAGATCGAATGATATCAATGATGAACTTGATTCCGAATGTTGAATACGTTCAAGTAAATCAGTATAGTGACTATATTTTTTGTTTACATCGAGTTATATAATATATTTTACTTTTATTATAAATTATTCAGTTTTTTCATCCTAAAGGGTAATAAATGTTTTATTAGATTTATTTTAAATTTATTTAAATTGTTTAACATAATCAATCAGAATTCATTTATATATATTAACATAATAATTTGTACTTAAAAATTGTATTAAAATAAAATATTATGTTCTCATCATTTTCATTTATACTATAGTGTATTAAATTTTATTGATAAATACATTTATATTTATATGATGATTTCTAATTAATTTACAAGTAATGTATATCATAATTTAACAATCAAATAGAAATAATAAGCAGTTTATTATTAATTAATAATCTAAATGAACTATTAAAGATGTTGAAGGTTATGGAAATAGGAAATTATAGATTCAATTTTTAATACTTATCAAGTAGTCTAATAATAAATTACAATATAAACTCTAAAGAAACTAAATTGTAATATCAACAAAATTTACTCAAATTATGGAATATACAGAATAATTATAATTTACACTTTCAATATTTAATATAATGTCATTAAATTAAATTGTTTTAAATCTCTAAGATCACTTTAAAAATTCATTATATATTGATGAAAAAATGAAAATTTATAATATAAATTTTGATTAACTATCAATCACTTTATTCTTCAATCTAAATTTCATTTTTTTAATTTTTGGAAATTATTTTAATTTTTAATAATATAATTACAAAGTGGTTATCCTTAAGTGTTTGTAATTCTCCTATTTTATTTTAATAAATGTATGCAATTCTATAAGTAAAATAATTTAGAAATAATCAAATTTGTCAATATAAATACTATTATTTAATTTTTTTATTTTAATAGTTGAGACCTTATGTTTTAGATAGATCTATTTTTAATTTCAAATACTGAATCCAAAAATCAATAAAGAATATATAATCTAATTTGTCTTAATTATTTCGGAGTGATGATAAAAATTTTCCTATTTAATATATGATGAATTAATGGTTGTACTAGAGTTACTTTAAAAAAAAAAGTTCAGTCCATTTGAGCTTTTTCATTGCTAGAATTGATAAATTTTTCATTTTACAATAACATTCATACCTATTATAATTAAAGGACCTATTAAACTCAAGATTAAAAATCTTATTTAAGAAGATCCTATATAAACTTATTCATTTAGAGTCAAATAATTTTCAAATTCCTAACAATATGATATTTTCAGTAGGATGTATAAAATTATTAAAATTTCAAGTGTTAAAGTTTTCAACTTTAATCCAAAAATCAAACCAATATAAAAAATGGAATCAATATATTTAAGTAATTGGATGATATTATGTTGATGTAAATTGTAAATGATAAGAGAATTTCTTAAAAAAATTAGTTTTTCATATATTGAATATTTATTTGAAATAATTAAAAAATTAATTTTGTTTTACATGTAATATTATAATACATATTTTTTAAAAAACAATTTTTCTTAACTAATGTTTTGATTATTGTTAAGTTATGATTTTAATAAATATGAATGAAACCGTAATTATAAAGTTTCTAAAGTTAATTTTATATGATTATGAAAATATTTAATGCAATATAATAATCATGATAATTTTTTTTTAATGCTGTTAATCCAACAGAGAACAACCATTGTGGATTTAAATGCAATTACAGTTGTGTAAGTCAATGCTTCATAATTGAAATTCAATCTTATCTAAAATATTTAGACATTTACTAATTACATAAAATTGTCCTAACATTTTGATGAGCAATAAAAATATCATCACAGGAATCCCAAATATCCACCAAAAATATTTATCTTAAAAAACAATTGACATAAAAAGTACTAATGATAACGTTGAAACAATAATAATTGAAAGGCATTCTAATAATTTATAAAATAATACTTCTTAGACTAGTATTGTATCTTGGCCTTACAATAAATACTAATAGGGTCAAAATAATATGACTTAAAGAGATTTAAATGTAAATGACTAATTATTTAATTATAAAATATAGCTTACATCCTTAATTCAGTGTTGTATACAGAAATATGCCATAACTAAGAATAAAATATTCAAATATCAAAGTGTAAGTTACTATTGCAGTCTTATGGAAACTGTCTAAGGTATCCTTTGCTAATATCAACTTTATACTCGATCAAATCGGTAGACCAAAATAATAAAATATGTATAAAATCCCAGAGGAATGATCACGCAATATTAGTTAAGTAAATTTGGTTGAAAGGTATCTTCATCAATTATATATTATTAAAGATTTCTATTATAATAAAAAATAGTTATTAATATGAGAGCAATAAGTAATTTTAAAACAGTGAATAAATCAATTGCTATGGATAATTATTTATTCTATTCAAGCCTTTATATTTCTTAGGAATTTGAATTATCATTATTATTATCATTAATATCATTATTATTGTCATTATTATCATTATTATTATTATCATTATTATTGTCATTATTATTAGGAAAATTTCTACTAATATCCTAAACATATTTATTATTTTAAAAGTTTGTTCTGTTTTATTCAATTTATTAATGATCTTAATTTATTTTTCTTTCATAATTTTAAAAGTCATTTTAAATGTAATAAATTTCATCTTGTTGTTAAAATCTATTCCTATTTTAATTAAATGGTCTAAAGTTTTGCTATATTGGATAATTAATTTTAATGAGATTCTATTGACTATTGGAGTAATAACGAATGGGTTTGTTCATTTATTTATCAAATAAATATAATATTAATAAGAGGTGATACACATTTAAGAATTAAATATAAATTTTATTTTACATTTAAAGTTATATCTTAATTATGAATATTTTTAATATCAAGATATATGAAAATAATGAAAAATATTATTAAGAAAACTTATATTATTGACTAAAAGTATTATTAGGAAGTGCTAATCTCTATTATTTTTATTAAATGTTATCATAAAAAAATTAAAGTAATTATAGATTATAATTGATTTTATGAATGTGAAATTTAATATATATTGTAAATTAAGATAGAATATACAATTTTTATTTGAATAGTAATTGATTTTTTACTATTTAAAAATAGTAATTATACTATTTTGATGAATAGCATAATAATATTATTTTCTTTTAATAATTAATATTATATTAAAAACCCAATATTTTTCTTAATCTATATATTAATTATTGAATATAAAATAATATAATCAATCATAAAAATTATGTAAGTTTAAGTATTTATATTAGTTTAGGTTTGCAATTAGTAATTTGTATGTTAATTTTAGAATAACTTAGCATAGCTTATAGAAACTAAATAATTTTAGAATAATTTAGCATAGCTTATAGAAACTAAAATAAAGGAATGTTTAGTGAATAAAACTCATAATAATGAATTAAAACAGCATAATTAATGAATTTGATTTATATAAAATTAATATAAATAAGTTTAACAATTTAAGAAAAAGGCTTAAATTTATCTCTATACTAAATAATTTTTGATAAAGAAAATTAATGATAAGTTGTGTAATAATCTTTTATTTATATGGTGTCTGTTTATTATATTTATATATATTTTAATAAAAATTTAATTATTATCACCATGATTAAAATAAATGTAGGAGTGTAGTAATTGGGTATAATTCAATCTGTAGAATTATATCCTTATTAAAAAGGTACAAATATATTGCAGTAATTGTTTAATAAATTGAATTTTAATTTGGATATAAGAAAGAATATATAGAGTACTATAAAGATTGATAATGTTGAGGTGGATATAAATAAAACAATTGAGATTCTTGAGATTAACAATTACTCATAAGTAGAGGTATTTTTATCTAAAAGAATAATAATTGAATGTGATCATGAACATTTAGGTTCAATAAAATATAATACAGATGTATTTGATTAAGTCAATTTGTTTAGAATTTATTTGGTTAAAAATTTTATCAAAATTAATTCATGTGAAATACTAATAATTAACTAAGAAGATGGAACTTTATTTTAGAATGAATCTTGGGGTAAATATGGAGTTTATTAAAATATAAAAGTTAGTATTCAAATCACAAAATAATAAAAAATCATATTTAATTAATTAATTAAAGAAATTAAGATTGATATTTTCTAACCTGTTGCTAAATTCATTCATTAATTTAAATTTGAATAGAATATTTAAGATGATATTATTATTTTTAAATAATAATAAAAATAAATAAATCCTGATAGCATTTATATGAACTTAAATCTTTCGTAAGAATAACCATGGGAAGCAGAGATTTAAAAGGATTTCATTTTTTAAATATAATTTGAATAAAATAATAAATAGATTACTGTATCTTAAAATATAGAAGTATTTGATTTGATAGGCATAATGAGATAGTAATTTAAAATAGAAAATACAATTCCATTAAAATTGGAGTACAAACTTAAAAAAAAAATATTAGATATAGATAATACAATTAAATAGGAATGTGTTCCAACATGTAGTCAATTAATTCTTATAAAAGAGCCATCTGATAATAAGATAAATATATTATTACTTAATTAAAAAACTCATATTAAATAATTTGAGAGAGTGGCTATTAATTCAATTTTAGGTGATTTGGATGTCTTAATAAATTATGATAAAAATACTGAAAGTATTTAATATTATGTTGGAGAATAAATGAAAGATAAAAAATAGAATTTATAATAACTTAATTTGAAATCAGAATGTGTAATTAAGTATTTGATAGAGAATAAATAAAAAGTGGAATAATTTGAAAAATAGAAAATAGTTTAAATTTAATTAGTTCGTGAACCAAGTGATGAGAATTCATAAATCAAAGTCATTTTTGAAAATATGTACACTAAGTAATCAAAATAAATTATGATTTCATCTACTTGTTTCATTAATGATGGTTTATAATAAGTTCTTTAGAATGAAATTATAAAAGATACAAGTTATTATTAAGTTTATTTTGATTAATAAAAACTTAATCTTCAAGCAAGATTCAATTAATTTAACATAATTTCTAATTCCAAGTTATCATATTTTACAGAATTTGTTATATTTTCAGCCTTTGTTTAAGGTGAAGATTTAGAATTAATTGTGGATTAAAATCTTTCTATTTTACAAATTGAATAATAATTTAAAAAATATCATAAAATTAATTAATAACTATTTCTAAAAATAGAGAAATTATAAGATAAAAACTTATCATTAAAATAACTTTTATAGAAACATAAAAATTTCCAATTTGTATTTCAAGTTTCAAGTGATATAATTATTCAAGAAAATTAAATAAATTTATGTATATTTCTTAACGAAATTAATAGTCAAATTTAATTACAGATGTAAAATGATGAAAGAGGTTTGGATATTTGTTAAAAAATAAAATACAATTATAAATTACCAAAAAATTAAATAATATAATTATATATTGGTGAAAGATTAGTAAATTATAATGAAACAGTTTCTTAAATTAAAAATGAAATCAGTATAAAGAATCAATAATTGAGAGCTCAATTTATATATTTCTTAAATTTATAATTTGTAAGTTCATGTGGTTTAGTATAAAAGATAGTTAAAGCACAATTAGAGGATACTATGTAGTAAACATTAAATAATAATTAAATAAATGGGGATAACTTTATTTGTAAACAATAACTCTTAGATATCAACTAAAAAATAAAAGAATTGCCTATTGAAAACAATTCAATAATAAAGTATCAATCTAATTAAATAATATTGAATTTTTAAAATGATCAAACTGGAGAATAACATAAAATATTAACATATTAGGATGAAAGCTTTGAAACAATCATTAATAATTTAGGTGTCAGAATAAATCAGCTTAAGTATTAGAATTAAGTTTTGGATTTGACATCAAAGATCAAGAGTATAAATTATAATCCTAATGAAAATATAAGATTTAATGAATAACCCAATTATCATGAGCCATCTGATGTCATTTAATAACCTTAATAAGTTAAAGTGACTGTAACAATAGGAGATAAAAATTTAACATATTGTGTAAGTCATAATATGTTGCTTAGTCAATTAAAAAAAGATGTTCATAGTAAAATGAAAAAAAATCCTGATACTCTATCAAAGTATGCACTAAAATATTAGGGTTAATTCATAGATGACCAAAGACCATTATCATCATTTGGTAAAGCTAACCTTGAATTTCAATATTCACTATTGTATCCTATAGTTCATTCATGATTATTTATAATTATGATTACTTTCCTCTCTAAATGAGAATATTTATTATAATTATAAAATTAATGCTTTTAAAAAAGCGTATATATTTTCTAAAAGATAAATACAAAAATCAGAAAGTTTGGAAACAGAAGCTTTGCAAAAATTTATAAGGAAATAAACTTAAAGATTAGATTGTTTCTAACATTTTACAAAAATCCATTAATTGAATCAGAATATTTATTAGTAATTCAATATCTTTATTGTTGTATAACACTTAAGTTATATATTGATAATTTAGAAGACAAAATTAGAGTTCATAAAATATTTGTATATATTAATAAATGAGTTCAATTTGAGGGGGCTTCATTTTCTAAAGATCTCATAATTCTCTAATGCAAACTATTAATTGAACTCAACATATGCTATTCAAATTTTAAGAGGAATAACAAATCCTTTGTCATTTACTATTTACTTGAATTTTATCCTTGCATTGTAAATTGTAATTGCTTCAATTTTTCTTTTTTATCCTTTTTATCACTTTTGGAGTATGGAATAATTTATCTTTCTGGTTTATTTTACATTTGAGAAGACTTTACTTCTTCAACAGAGTCATCCTCATTGAAATCAAATGAAATTTCACTTTCAGACATATTAATTTTATAACATATAATAATGTAATTATTATTTTTTAAAGATGGAACTGTATGGTATTATTTTGTTAAAGAATATATTAGTTTATGAAAATATCTTATTAAAAAAATGAAATCAGAAATTTATGTAAAATAATTAAAATTAGTTTATTTTTGTTAATTAATTATGTCTAATATTGAAACTTATAAAAAGAATTAAAAGATTAGTGAGAATTGTAATTATAATGAAATAAGGATAGATTTTTTAAATTACTTAAAAAAAGAATACTTTTTATAATTTATAATAGTTAGATAATAGAAAAATGAATTTTAAAATAGTATAAATTTCATTATAATAATATATAAATAACACAAATATAAATGAAAAAATATGAATTAATAGTCAATAATGGATTGTTCAAATTTGAATATGAGCCTAAATCTCACTCAGCAAATATTAATGATGTGATTCAATTCATTAATTAATAAATAGGATTTCCTGCAAAATCTTAATTATATATCATAGTTGATAATAATATTAGAGATACAAAATTTGATTTAAAGGATGCCAAAAATAATATTATACATATCAAATTTTCAGATATAATTGAAACATTCACTATATAACACATTAATAAAGATGAAAAATATAAATTAGTTTTAGAAAAAGTTGATACTTGTTAACAATTAATAGAAATAGAAAAGAAGATTGCAAATTTAATAAAATGTGAAGAGTACCCTATTAAAATCCTGAAGAAAAATTAATTTTTTGATAGAAATCTATTACTATGTCAAATATTCATTTATTAATAAGAAATATATTACCATGTTTTAGCGATGTTTATTATTTAATATAAAGATAAACGATAATTGTTTTAGATTGATGCATTCTCACATTTTGATAAAATAAAGCAAAAAATTAGATA